ATAGTTAAACAGACCGCTTGCGGAAGGCTTACCAGACACAACAGCAGCTAATGTATACAAAGTAGATTAATTCTGTAGAGAATTAGAGATGCCACTATCATGATTATTTTAGCACGAATTAGAATTAGATCGTAACCGGGGTTTCGAAAGAGAAACATGCATACATTGAAATACATTAGTAGACTGGTCTATTTATTTATCAGCCCATCCAGGGACGTGACAGAGAACAAGGACTGGATTCAAGCCGCTCTCCTTTGACCCCATGCTCCAAGCCGCCGAAAAGTTATGCGCTAATCTGCAACTGTTGACCAGGTGGTGAGATAAAAGAGCGCATGAAATTTCAGGATTTAGAATTCCTACATCAGAAAATGGTATCACAGCAACTGTTCGCTGTCCCTTTCAATGATTTCTCATCCATTGTTGAATGTGTAAAGAGTAGAACAAGCGAACAAAAACTTGTTTAATTTTATCCCTCTTTTTAACTTCAAAAATATAAAAAAAAACACGCATTAGCAAACTTAATGTTATTGAAGATTGTAAATCATGGATTAAATAACGGGACATTAAAACATGCACAAATTAGCACAATATCCTAAAATATTGAGTGTTTTTTGTCAGGATGTAATTTTTCTCTTACCAACTCTGGCACACAAATTATAGGAAAGACGGAGTACTAAATTTGAAAATTTGTTTGATTCACTATTCCCAATACACTCCCCATATAAATTTTTGATTTTTACTGAAATTTTGCCGGTAATTTAATATTTTGTAATAAATTTAAAACTGGTGCCTGGCTTCCAAAGTCTCCGTAGTGAAAGCGCGGTTCGAAGCATGGAACTTCAAAGCTAAGTGTAATGTTACACATCCCATTGTTACGCTTGAGAACTCACGAATGCGTTTGAATAAATTACAAGAGTTTCGCCTCCTTTCTTTCATCTCCCTGGTTAAACAGACCGCTTGGTGGAGGCTTACCAGACACGACAGCAGCTATTGTATGCAAAGTGGATTAATTCGATAGAGATGCCATTATCATGATTATTTTAGCATGTCACAAATTAGAATTAGATCGTAACCGGGGGTTTGAAACTCGAAAGAGAAACATGCATACATTGAAATACATATGTAGACTGGTCTATTTATTGATCAGCCCATCGCTTGTGCTGTTTCCCCACCGCATGCATGACGTATACACAAGAAATATAATAACTGTACGCGAATGCTCATCGCTCCGGTGTTAAAAGGCCTAAATAAAGAGATGTTTTTATTGCCCTTTAAGTTCCAGGACCTGGGTCGGTCGGTCGATTTTCTTCCAAACCAATGATGAAAAGATGGACCTCTCCAAGGCTTTCGATACAATTAATCATGTGCAAACTCAGTTATTATGGACTCAGGAGAATAGTGGTTCAGGAACTATACCTTCACGATAGGCACCAGTATGTTTCTATTGCCAATGTCCTGTCTAATACGAAAGATTTAAGTTGTGGTGTCCCACAAGGTTCCATTTTGGGCCCGCTTCTTTTCTTGTATATATCAACGATTTCTGCAAGTCTTCGGAGGTTTCATTTTTCGTTCTTTTTGTATATAGACGACTCAAATCTTTTCTTTTCCCATAAGGACCCACATTTTTTACTTGTCACCATCAGCCAGGAATTAAAACGTGTTTCAGAATGGATCAAAGCCAATTATCTCTCAATCTGCAAAAGACGAACTACATGCTCTTCAGTAACACAATAGATACTAAATTTCTGGGAATAAATAGAGATGAAAAGCTTTCTTGGAAGGAACACGTAGATAATATTTCTAAAGTTATTTCAAGAAATATTGGCATTATAAACAAGGTCAAATGTTACTTTCCAACTCGTATATTATTAACCCTGTATCCCACGTTGTTGATCCTTCCACATTTAAAATACGGAATTATAGCGTGTGACAATTATTGTGCTGAACATTGCTGACTATATAATTTAATTCTGTAGAATTTTATTACTTCAGAAAAAAAAGTGCTGCGTGTTATATGTCGTTCTGATTTTCGAGCACACACATTGTATTCTAAAGATAACAGATTTATACAGTCATAATCTGGGAATATTTATGTATAATTCAAATAGAAATGAACTGCCAAATGTTTTTTATTCAAAGAATGTCAATATTCATCATTACCCTTCTCTCTCTGCCGGGCTACATAAGTAATAACAGACGGATACTGCACAAAAATACATTAAAAATTCATTAAAAATAGTACATTCATAACAAAACAGTAGGTACACCGTAGATCAAAGAATATTGGTGGCAGGAAAACGGAAGTGCATTGGGAATGGATGTGAAAAATAAAGGGTTTATGATATGACTTAAGCAAACTCATAGGAAGGACATATTGTTGAATAAATTATGATTAGTGCTAAACGAAATGATCTGTTTTACATGCTTCAAAGTAGGCCTATTGTCATATAGGTGCAATGTACATGTATATGGAGAACAAAAGGGACCTTTAAAGGTACTATGTCCCTTTTGCTGCCAACCTCAAATTCTGTAGAACTTTGCAGGAATTATGAATATGTCATGTATGTCCTATCTGTGAAATTTAAACGTTAGCAGTGTCCTCATAATCAAATTATGCAAGGAAACCCGTTTACTTGCTAGACTTCACTGTCAGACACTATTGAGTGACTGACTGGCTTTTTTTCTTCTTTGGTAATAACATACATGAAAAGAGTTGTAAATGGTACATGAGCATTTGTCTACATCAATAACCCACTTCTTGTGATGGCCAAGATTAAACTGATTGAATCTTTGCGCAGCATAAAACGTATGACCATTCGGTACAATTGTCTGAAAATCAAGACTATCACTTTTGGGCTCTATAGCCCTAAAGTCGATTTGACAACTAATAGTCGTTATTTTCCCACTTGAAGACATTTTCAAGCCCCACCTTTTTAGGGAAGTTCTAAATTAGTATTATCTTTCAAATGCAGTTGGAATTTAACTTTTTCATTTTTTTTTTGCCTGCAAATGGGACATAGTACCTTTAATTCACCTAAGTTGAATGGAAAGTGAAATTATAGTTTCACTTCCTGTTATTGGTTAATAGAGATGATTGGTAATGCAATATTGAATTTAATATACTCCATATAAAGAAAACATGTACCTTCTGTATACAATTACATTTTTACATTTAAGCACATCTATAAGATAACAATTTGATTTACGTATATGCTTAAAGGTACTATGTCCCATTTGCAGGCCCAAAAAATGAAAAAGTTAAATTCCAACTGCATTTGAAAGATAATACTAATTTAGAACTTCGTTATAAAAGGTGGGGCTTGAAAATGTCTTCAAGTGGGAAAATAACGACTATTAGTTGTCAAATCGACTTTAGGGCTATAGAGCCCAAAAGTAATAGTCTTGATTTTCAGACAATTGTACCGAATGGTCATACGTTTTATGCTGTGCAAAGATTCAATCAGTTTAATCTTGGCCATCACAAGAAGTGGGTTATTGATGTAGACAAATGCTCATGTACCCTTTACAACTCTTTTCATGTATTTTATTACCAAAGAAGAAAAAAAGCGAGTCAGTCACTCAAAAGTGTCTGACAGTGAAGTCTAGCAAGTAAACGAGTTTCCTTGCATAATTTGAATACTAGGATGTTGTTAACGTTTAAATTTCACAGATAGGACATACATGACATATTCATGATTCCTGCAAAGTTCTACAGCATTTGAGGTTGGCTGCAAAAGGGACATAGTACCTTTAACATAGATCTGTCATTACATTATTCCATTTTTTAATTGAGTAACCTAACCTCACAATAAAGGGAAGACCGTGCGCTCTTTCTGTAGCGCTCATTCTTGCATTTGATTTCTGAATAGTCATTAGCGTTACTCTGTCAATATGTTCTTAATTGTGCAAACAATTGATATGAAATGGAATATATTCGAATCAATCAAATCAATCAATCAAAGATAAACTGGTAACGATGGACCATTGTTCGAACCCGCCACAGTCCACAGTCTACGTCAGGTGCTACACACCCCAAGGACTCACTTTGAATATAGGTTGTCTAGAATGTGTTTACAATATGTCACCACTTCAAAACCAATGGTATGATCTACGAGAGCCGTATAATTGGAATAGGCAGCAACAAGAATCATGAGTCTGTGTGGTAATTATGGTCTAAATCAGGGTTTAGCTTTGGTATTGTGTTTTTCTAATATTTTTTTTTTTTACTGGTAGTCAATCCGCAGCGCCTGCTAGTTAATCGCATGTACTTATTCAGTACACAATGCATGAGCTGCAGGCGCATGCATACATGTACGTAATGAGCGATGCACGGAGTTTGATTTGATTTTAATCCTTCAAGGAATAAACGTTACACTATAATTGCACTATATGTAACGTGTTCTTTTGCACTGCGTTAGATCCCCCAGCTCTATGCTTTAGCAATTGCTAAGTTTTTCCTTTTTTTTAAAGAGATTGAACAGCAGAAAAGCATGATATATCATTAACAGTCTCTTTTGGCTGATATGATTAGTTTTATAAATTGTGATGATCCACAAGCTTGACTAATAATATATCCATGTAATAATGTACAAAATGTGCTGTGTATGCCAGTATAGGAATTATTTTCATATCTTGTACAGTCGAGTAGGGGAGCTTGCAGATACAGGGAATGTTGGCTCTATTTAATTTTTAAAAATAATTCATATTATTTTTAAAACCAACTCTCACTACAAGCTTCAAATACATCAAAACTGTAATCATTATCATCATACATTTTGTTACAAGCGCTTCATAAATTCATGACATGATGTATTATTGATTTGAATTTGAATTTTAACCTGCATAATAATGCGCCCCAGGAGGGAGACACACATTTCATTTTAACATGGAAGCTTTGTAACTGCATATAATTATGAATGTTCTATGATTTTCAATCAACAAAAAAAATCAATTATTTATCGACTCTCTCTTTTTTATGCTTCTTCCTCATTTCTGTTTAGAAGAAGGCCGCCATGGTTAACTTCAAAGGTTGTAAGGGCTGGCTGATCACGGCCGTTACTTTTTGTCATTTCTTCGCAAACTATGGATTCCTGTATTCTTATGGACAATTCTTAGTCGTCTTTCAGGAGGAGTTTGGTAAAGGGGCAACCGTAACAGGTATTTATTTGCTTTGAAGTTCTCTAAATTTAAACAAAATTATAAAATGGCGAAAAGAAAGTTGAGTCATGCAGACAGATATATCAAGTTTTATGAGGACCAAGAATGCGAGTGAGGGAGAGAGGAAGTCTTAAGGAGAGAGCCGTGCCATGAGAAAAGAGAGGAATATAGATGAAGGGAGATAGGAAGAAGAAGAAGAGGAAGAAGAGGAAGAAGAAGAAGAAGAAAAAGAAGAAGAAGAAGAAGAAGAAGAAAAAGAAGAAGAAGAAGAAATGGAGATAAAAGATGAAAGATAGTGAGAAAAGGAACAAAATGATTGATAAGGCGATGTTGGTTAAAAAGATATACCGATGTTTCTGCTTCCCCCTCCTGATAGTGTTTATTTTTCTTCATTTTGTTTGTCTTTCTTTTCAGGATGGCTTGGGACAATACCATTCGGTCTTACCTACCTCGCAACTCCCCTCTCCAATGCTCTCATAGCACGATATCAACACCGATTGGTTGCTGCCATCGGTGTCATCTCATGCTTCGTATCTTTAATTGTGACGTCATTTATGACTAGCCTCCTTCCGATGTTCTTCACTTTTAGTCTGCTTTACGGGTTCGGGATCAACTTTGTGACGGCTGCTGGACTCAATATCATCTTGCAATACTTTCCAGACAAGCATTCAGCTAGGGCTGTGACGATAGCCCTTATAGGGTGCAGTACAGGTACATCACGCTAACTTCTGTGAAATACAGTTTAAAGATAATATAGACGGTATATGTGGTCAAATTGCGGGGTTCAATTAGGGTTCTGGTTGCAATTCATTCGTTATAATATATATCAAGGCCGGATCGATATGATAATTTATCAAATATATCAATTAGTAGGCGGTTTCCCGGCAAAATTTGTGTCATTACGTATTAGTCAAAACATGTTCTTTCACATGATTGGTAATAAAAGCTTCCATTTCATTTTTTTGAGAGGGGGGGCGGGGGGGCGTTTTCAAAACTGGTCTATACCTTTAAAGGTAAAGACCAGAAGAATATGTTTTGCCTAATACATGATGATAAAAAATTTGCCGGGAAACCGCCTACTTTGATATATTTGGTAAATTAGTTTATCTATTTGGACGTGATAGATATAACGCACTTGTCGCGCACGTGTGCGTAGTTCCATATACATCTTTCTGTGACTGGGCCAAATTTCTTATCATTTTGAAGATTCCAGAACCTAGCAGTACACACCAATACTTATATACTAGATGATCAACCTTTTCTGATCGATTCCACAACGTACTTTCTTTCACAATGCTGTCGCATGAACATGACTGGTCTTTATCTTTAAGATAGTTTGTAGTCCTATATTTGACATCGTACTGTGACAATGATCTTTTTTTCGGAGATTCCTCAATACATAGCTACTTGAGCATCCGGACATTGTATGTGATCAAGTTCCGTAATCATCCAAGTATTTTCACAGATGTTTATCGCCACAATAATCATGTATATGCAATATTTAAAGTAGAAAAACCGGCCTTCACCGCTCCTGCCTTTGCTTCAGCGAAAAATGTTCTGAAACGGGTACAACTTTCCGGAAAAATCAAACGTATCTCGCATGAAAATTTCTTTGTAAAATGCTCCTAATCGTATCATTATTTATAATATCACTTTAATTTAATGGACTGTGAATAATAGCTCGGACATACAAGACAAAAAATATTCTACAAAGGACATTAATTGGGAAATTTAAATTAGAGGCTATCGCATTTCAAATTACAGCATAAAACAAAGTCTGCCTATATGGAGTATACCTGCAACGGATATCCTCGTAATTTCGAACTTTATATTACTAATGCAGATTTATCTCGTGACAAAGCATGGAAATAATCACCGCACCTGTGTAAAGGTCTGGGTTACCGTTTTTCTCTCTTGAAACAATTTGATCAATTGTGAAGACTATCGTAGTCAATTAAGTACGTTACCAGTATTGACATCGATGTCTAACATTCTCCTTATGCCCACAGGTCTCTTAGCCCTGAACCCTCTCACATACTTCCTCATCAACTCTCTCGGATGGAGAAACACGCTACGGATCGCATCAGCTGCTGTCATGGCAACGGGTGCAGGGGCTGTCTATACTTTCACCAAACCTCCGCGGGAACATACTGACCTGGAGATGAAATATATCAAAATCGAAGGAATCCAACGCACAGAAGAAAAAGAAAATCTCTTTGCTGATCAAATGAATGGAAATGACATGAAGCAGAAAGATGGACAGAAGACGGGGTTGACCTCGGATTTGCTTCAAAGGAAGATGAAGGAGGAGGAAGAGAGCAAATTAAGATTCAGTCAAGAACCTAGACCCCTGTCCGTATTGCGCCATCCCGAACTGTGGATGTTGGCTTCCGCTCTTGTCGTCTGCTGTGCGGGTGTTTGCTTCTTTTATATGAGCTTGGTAAGACACCAAATTGTTGTTTTATTTGAGATAATGCAGTATTATCTATTTGAATATACATGTAGTTTTAGACGCCGAAATATATACATAAGGCTGTTGTTGTTGTTGTTGTTTGGTATTATCGGCGTTTCATTCTTTTTTTAGAGTATTTACGCCTTTCACTTTTTTTTTTTTTTTTTTTTGGGGGGGGGGGGTACTTTTTGTAAAGTCATACTCTTCTCTTTTTTTTGATAATATAATCTCAGATCTCAGGTATTTTGCACTATTATATTAGTAGGTACTAGGCAGGCCCTACACAAACTAACCAGTTTGCAGTAATGCTGTTGGTTCTACTTGAAGCATGAATTTAGATTGTACGATTAGGGGTCACAAATCCTAAACCAAACTCTTCGTCAACCATGCAATGCTTATTCATTTTCTCAAGATGACTATTTCCTGTAACGGAATCCTTTTGGTTAATGGAATTAGGAATTAGGATACATCCCATTTATGAATCTGAAGGGTCAAGGTGTAAGTCCTTGTGAAACTTGTTATCATTGAGGCATATCTGATAGCTCTTACAGATACAAAGTTGTATTGGTCCAGAGCTCATCAATATACAGCGCTTGCATAGTCGCATCTAGCTATACCATTAGGGACTTTTAGATTTGCGTGGACTGATACGTGTGACGTCCATTCAAGGCAGTGCATTAAAAGGACGTCGATCGTAGCAATTCACGTTGTCGTTGTGCAAATCTAAAAGTCCCTATTATTAGGTACCTATGTCCGGGACCTATGATTTAGCTGGTGCATGCATACGTCATGAGCGTTCCAGGGACAATAAGTCCCTGGGCAATCACCTCCCGGTCAACAGGACAACACTCCCGGAATTTATTTTGCTTTAATTAAAACCAACTTATTATCAGGGTAAACTTCCCCTTGAATGACGGGGGGGGGGGGGGGGGGGTGGTTGACTTTGGTTGTCCTGGCGGAGGGGATGGTAAGGGCAATGTCCTCGGGGATGGTTGATGGTTGAAGAGTTGACCCCGTTTTAACCGATCAGCACTTGATCCGTATTAAACCCATGAATATTAAATGTATATCTATATTTTGCTCTTGTAAATCTTAACTTATTCTCTGTCAAATTGAAGATTTTCCAATGTATCACAGTATTTTACTGATATTTTTAATGTGTTAAAATCACGCAATTATTCACTTTTACAATCTACTGCTATTTAACTATTTTAAAAGCCGGTCTGCATGGTTACAAACAAACATGACTTGTTAAAAATCAATGAAGATCTGAGAGGAAATATAATTGCATGTTCACATTTATATATATCTCTATATTTTTTAATTTTTACTATGAACTTGAACGAATTTTGAATTTATATCATGTAATGTCTAATTTCACATGTATTTATTGTATTGTAAGTTTCTTATCAATTTGTAAAAAGTCACACAATGCAGCCTTCGGGCTACGAGATGATTTTCAATAAAACAAACCATTTATATATATATATATATATATATATATATATATATATATATATATATATATCTTCGGGGGGGGGGGAGTAATTTTCCGGGGGTTATTTTCATAGAGGAGGGGATAGTTTCCGGGGGGGGGGGGTCAATTTCCGGGGGGGGGGGGTTATTGTCCTGATACGCGTAATAACCATGCATGGGATTCTTTCAATGTTTGATCTTGATCCTTAGAATCGAATCCATAGAATTTTTCATGACTTTACAATCGAGGCTTTCTAATATAACATATATTAACTGGATGAGGGCGTAATATACTTTTTTTTTTTTGGGGGGGGGGGAACACAAGGGGGTATGTTATCCCTCTTTACAAAAGTTCATATTATACACCCGGTCAATTATGTATATACATATAATGGGTGTCAGACTGTCAGTAGACATGTATGATAATATTAACCTATGGCCAGACACTTAGAGCTATACAATCGTACTACAGGAAAGCTTTTCAATGAAACGTCTCGACAAGTAGGTGACATACAAAGAAATACCCTTGGATGAAGTCCATGAAGTTTAAAGCTGTGAACCTGCGTCTTTTATAGCGAGGATCTTCAAAACAAATATAAAATACCTTTTTTTATTTTCTAGCAATAAAGCATGCTCTTAAAACCGGACCCTTATTTGTCAATAAACTTCAATCGATCACTGAGATAAAAATGACATATATTTTAATTAATTACAATTCCAAATGACCGACAAGATCATAGTTATTTAAACTTCACTAGTTTTTAAATGAAGAAAAAATAAAATCTTCGAGAATGTCGTTTTGTTTCCGAAGGTACCGGTAGACACCAGGAGATGTCCAGTGTTAGGTTAAGTGACCGTACGGCCACTTACGGCGTCCGGTATTAGAAGGCGTCCGGTATTAGGTTGAATGAACATAATGGAAGTCAGATAGAGAGAATCATTTGCGTCTTTGTTTCTCACAATTATTACTCAGCGATAAGAAACTATCCCCCGGAAATAATTCAGACAATCGATTTCTGACAATTTTCCGGCTGGATGCAATAGTTTATGGCGGATAACTTCCAACTCTACACACTATAAAGAAATGTAAACAAATCAGAGCAAACACAATGGATCGGATGGATCTGAGTAACCTTTTATTGTCAAAGACAGTCAGTCATAGCAAATTTGAAGTCTGAGGGTAAATGACTTCCAGTACCATGCACCATGCAAACGTCAAAGTATCTTGAACTTACAAGATGAAAGTCACACGAAGAGACTCAACTTTAATATAAATATGATTTGTTTCAAGTTGCTCTTGATTACTGTTTCGCTATATGATGCAGTTGTTGTTAGAGCATTTATATAAATGCCAATATGTATATAATATTGGATGGCTTTGGGTGTGATACAAGAATATATTGTCACAGTGAGAGCGATATATTCTTGTATCACACGAAAACAAAGCCATACATTATACTTATTATTATCTTTATCAGGCTGACTAGCGAAATAACAAAATTGTCAGAAGGGACATCAGTTTTGGACATTGGGTACTCTGACCGGGTACCAGCGAAAGAGTTGTTGATTTTCGATAATCAAGAAATATTGTATCGACAGTTGAAGGTCCCGTATGACAGAGCAATACGAAAACAAAATCGATCTGTCATCCGGGTACTGCGCTAACGATATTAAATACACTGATTTATTGTACCACTTGGAAGCCTTATATAAATAATATTCTATTGCATATTGTAATAATGTTACTAAATGCGTGATATGCTTAGGATGATTTAATCATGTACATGTGTGAGTGTGTATGCACCGGTATGTTTTCAAATTCCATTTAGCTTTCTGCTGATTCTATGAAATTTTTTTCCTTCTTAATGTTTTCATCAGTCAATTACAGTAGCGATGAATTATATCAAACCTATGTCATGTGCAATCATGATATTTGCATTATGACTATTCGAATTTGTCACCATTCACATAATTGTTCAGATGATTCAATAAGACAAATGCAAATTTGATTGATTTTATTAAAAAATACAACATAAAGGCATTTTTAAAACGATGATTATACATTATTTTTATCTTTTGCACAGGTAAATTTCTTGGTATCGAAGAATTTTGGTGAAACGCGAGCGATGGTAATGACAATATTGGGGGTGTCCGCGGTGATAGGCAAAGTGGCGGTGGCACTGGTAGGAGATCACCTTCCGTTCCCGAAGATCTTTCTGCTGGTCATTGCTAATATCATCGGCGCTATACTGATGGGATGTCTTCTAGTAGCAGAAAGTTTCATACCCATTGTCTCCGTTACCATCAGTAAGTCATAGCCTTTTGTCTTTAACCCTTACTGATCCCAGGCCCCCCTCGACATTTTCAGAGATTGCGCCGCAACCGCTTGGAATTTTGAATTGTCGTTTCATGACTTTTTTTCCCTCAAGTCTTGCGCACATTTTGATACCATTTTTCGACGAAATCGGATATACCTGTAACGTGTTACATAACAATTAGTATGCGCATGTCATAAAAAGTGCTATAATTGCATATATTCAATTGTGAATACAGGTTTAGATGCATTTCTTCCTAAGTGGGAGATATGAATTGATATCAAATTGCTTTTATATGTTTCTCAAAGTAACTTGATGTATTCCAGAACAAAAGAATACATTAGAAATAAAACAATAGATATAATAAGAAATAAAAAACATTAAAATACACAAGAAAATACATATTTGAAAATCGCTTCAAATTTGCATAAATTATCATTATTAATTACATCAAAATAACTATTTTGTGTTAGAAAAGAAGTTTCATATGAATAATGAGTTTCAACATTCAAAAAGTGGAGTCTGACAATTTTTGTAATGATTCTAGTTCCCTGTATATTTCCAGATTTGATATTCATGAAAGTGTAATTTGCGTATTCATAATTTATGCAAATTAACCTATGCATTTTCAAATGTCATAGAAATAATGAAACCTCATGAATTTGAGATGAAGGAAAAATGTATTCAATACATTTTCAAGATTCTTCACAAGTCTACAGACAAATACGTAGAGTTTTCTGTAAAATGCATAAAATTAGCATTTTGCATAATTAATTAGGCTATAACGACCAAAATTTGCATATTAGGAAAAAACTAATCATACCATCTTGTTCCTTACGTAAATATCTACAAACATGCACATGTTCGTGTTCATCGGACATTCGACAGCCGAGATCATAGGGGGGGGGGGGCCTCCCAGCCCCCCCCCCCAGTCAGTGAGGTGCTCAAAATAGCCCAGTATAGTAAGGGTTAAACAAATAACCCGCTTCACAAGACTAAATATACCTTCGAAGGAGACGATCTCAAGTACAACTGTATATAGATAGGAGACAGTTGCCTGTGCAGGGGCAAAAAATTGATGCTTGGGCACAATAGTTGTATAGAAGCACACGGCTTTTTTTTGGGGGGGGGGGGGGGAGGGGGCGTTGTTCACTGCTAATGTGTGCGGGCCTCTATTGAATCGATTATTTGGTCTTCTGAGAAAATTTGAAACTACTGGATGTTTGAATAAGGTCACAAACAATGATGCATGATTATCCCACTTCTTTGGGTTCGATGAACCGTTTAATTTAAAATTAAAGTAAACGAGTAACGGTGCAAAAGGAAGTTATACGACACTAAGAAAACTCCGGAGTTTGGTAATTCACAATGCAGGAGCTGAACAAAAGGAAAGGTTTCAGGATAGAGGTTATTTGCTTGTTGGGATTTTCTCAAAGCGTTGCGCCCGTGACTTTTGCTACATTATGACCCTCTCCTCGTTGAGTTGTGAAGTGTTCCAGAACTTTCAAAACTTTCGGTTCAGATTTAACAATAAATTAAAAATGAACATTTTTTAAAACTCATTTTGGAAGTCTTTGAAACTTGGAGGTAAAAAATTATTTCAAATCTAACACTCTGTCCAATGAGTACCAGCGCCACCATTTCCGTAAGAAGAATAACTATACTGACATGAGTGAATAATTCTCCGCAAAATACTAGCTTTAATAAACTGATACTAAACTCGCTGGTGGCTGCGGCAGAGCAGGGGTTCGAGTGAATTTTATAATTATATTTCCTTCTAACCGACAAAGAAAATGTTTGAATGATTGGTACCCCAAACGGAATACAAAACGGCCGGGTGCGGTGAAATCTTATCCAACTTTTATTTGGAGTGTAGTAGTCAAATACGATTATTGTACAGCTTTAGAAAAGGAACCTCGATAAGAAAACGTTCGTTGTTGAGCATTTCTACAAATATTACGTAGATTTCTGTGTAATCATTTTGTTGGTTTTATGTAATTGTTTGTTTTTCTTTTCACAGTTTCTGGTCTCTTGGTTATTTCTGTGCTGGATACCATACCTCATGCTGTAAGCCATCAGCTATTTCATCCTAATCAATGTCTTGTCTCCTGGACGGTTATCACATCGGCCATGGGCTCGGGTTATGTTGTAGGTGCGCTTCTAGGTAAGTAGCCTTTAAACAAGGCCACATGTCTGATAGACGCAGAGGAAAGGAGGAAGGAAGAGAGAGATAGAGGGAGTGGGACGGAGGGAGGGAGGGAGGGAGAGAGAGAAAAAAGAGAGATGATGGGGGCTGTGGAAACTTAAAACCTGCTACATACATTGTGCATGTGTATTTTCTATCCCTCCGCCTATACGCCCCTATACGCCCCTGGATCGGTGCCTAGCTTGTCGAACCCATATTGATTTATTTGTCCGACAAGTGATATGACAAGTCACTCAGTGACTCACTTTCTGATATTTCTACAGGCAGAATCAAGTCACTGTAATAAATCTAAAATTTCCAGTAGATTTACTATTGTAATGATGAGTAGGTTTATGGATTAATTGTCAGGATTCACAAGGCGTCAAGCTTCGCTTATCTTGTAGCCCTGGCTAGTTCAGTTTAAACTAAGTTCCCATTTCTACATGTGTGTTTTTAATGTATACTGATTTTATTATGTATTCATAACTGAAAAATTGATGAAATGAGATAATGACTATAAAATGTTATTTGGTTACTTTGGGTACTTCTGTAGGTATTTGGCTTCTAAATCATACACTTTTTTTATTATACTTTCCAATCTGTGATTAATTCTAAAGATGCCCTAACCCCCCCCTTTTTTTCTCTCCCCCTCTCTCTATCTTCCTCTCTCTCTCACCTCTATATATTTCTATCTCTCTCTCTCTCTCTCTCTCTCTCTCTCTCTCTCATTACAGGTTTAAGCATGGACCATACTGGGTCATACGATAGCGCCCTCTATGTGTGCATGGGATTTTTCCTATCGGCGGCATTGTTATGCAGCTTTGTTCCATTGTACCAGACGTGCTCTGCACGACGACTCGTTGCTACAGACATGGAGAATCAACCAGTAGAGTTATGATGAAATAGTACCGTACCTGACTGACTGAGAGAGAGGGAGAGAGAGAGAGAGAGAGAGAGAGAGAGCGAGAGAGAGAGAGAGGGGGGGGGGGGGGGTGGTAAATGCGTGATTGTGATTGGTTGAAAGTTAAGTTGAGTGGCTGCCATAAAAGGAGTGTTGGAACTGAGTCACGCTTAGTAGCCAATTAACACCAATTACATTTATGTATTTTAATTTTGATACAGCCATAGTATGGGCTAATCTTCTAAGGACATATATACATACATATCAGTGTGTGACTTTTGTATATATGATACGAATCGTTGCAATGTAACAAATATATCGACAGACTATACGTTCCAACAAAAAGAAAGTTGTTTACCCAAATGATTGGGTTTTGTTTCTAAAATCTATTCTACCTATTTTTAAGCATGCTTCGTCACAAAAAAAAGGGTTAAGGGTTTAGCGGGGAAGTCATTGAAAAGAAAAAGGGAGACGTTCATTTTTTATAATGAATCATACTTGTGGATACATAGGGTGATGATGATGATGATGATGATGATGATGATGGTGACTTTGATGGTGATGATGATGATGATGCTGATGATGATGATGATCGTGAATTTGATGGTGGTGGTGATAACGATGATAATATTGATATAGATATTAATCTGAATAATAATGAGGCTAATGCAATAATGATAATAACTCTATAATTTGAATACAAGTCATGTACAGTATACAATACCACTAGCCATTGACAGTGGTAACGACATTCCTTGTATCGGCAGGGTATATTCTGAATATTTCTACTTATAAACTAAATTATATAATCGTTAAGTAGAGAATAAGGCAACCTTTGAACACTCAGGGTAGCTAGTATCTTTCAAGTGCACTTGTATACCGTATATATTACTATTGGCGACATTACCATACGAAATCACAAAATCGTATAAAGTAAAGTATAAAGCATTTCTTCAACACACAGGGTAACTGGTATCTTTCAAGTGTACTTTTATACCGTATATATTACTATTGGCGACATTACAATACGAAATCACATAATAATTGTGAAGTAAAGTATAAAGCAATCCTTCAACACTCAGGGTAGCTAGTATCTTTCAAGGGCACTTGTATACCGTATATATTACTCTTGGCGACATTACCATACGAAATCACAAAATAATTGTAAAGTAAAGTATAAAGCAATCCTTCAACACACAGGGTAACTGGTATCTTTCAAGTGCACTTGTATACCGTATATATTACTCTTGGCGACATTACCATACGAAATCACAAAATCGTATAAAGTAAAGTATAAAGCAATCCTTCAACACTCAGGGTAGCTAGTATCTTTCAAGGGCACTTGTATACCGTATATATTACTCTTGGCGACATTACCATACGAAATCACAAAATCGTATAAAGTAAAGTATAAAGCAATCCTTCAACACTCAGGGTAGCTAGTATCGTTCAAGTGCACTTGTATACCGTATTACTATTGGCGACATTACAATACGAAATCACATAATAATCGTAAAGTAAAGTATAAATCAATCCTTCAACACTCAGGGTAGCTAGTATCTTTCAAGGGCACTTTTATACCGTATATATTACTATTGGCGACATTACCATACGAAATCACAAAATCGTATAAAGTAAAGTATAAAGCAATCCTTCAACAGTCAGGGTAGCAAGTATCTTTCAAGTGCACTTGTATACCGTATATATTACTCTTGGCGACATTACAATACGAAATCACATAATAATTGTGAAGTAAAGTATAAAGCAATCCTTCAACACTCAGGGTAACTGGTATCTTTCAAGTGCACTTGTATACCGTATATATTACTCTTGGCGACATTACCATACGAAATCACAAAATAATTGTAAAGTAAAGTATAAAGCAATCCTTCAACACTCAGGGTAGCTAGTATCTTTCAAGGGCACTTGTATACCGTATATATTACTCTTGGCGACATTACAATACGAAATCACAAAATAATTGTAAAGTAAAGTATAAAGCAATCCTTCAACACACAGGGTAGCTAGTATCTTTCAAGTGCACTTGTATACCGTATATATTACTCTTGGCGACATTCTGAATTGGATGTTTAGAAAGATTGTGCATGTATGTGTACATCATCAAGTGTCGTCTGCTGTGTGTTAAACAGGGTTTAAGCGCTTCTCAACAGCGATGTGTTTTTATACCTAAATGTCAATGTCCCAGAATTGAGTGTGTGATTCTTTATATTTTCTTTTCCTAATAGCAGTAATGTTTTTTCATCGATTGTTTTATACCATTGTATTACTATGAACACGTTCATGATTTCAAAAATCATTTCGAATGCAGGGTGTGTGGTAGTGCAGTGTGAATATAGTTATATAAATACGCAAATCTTTGCAATTTTTTGCAATTTTTTTTGTTATATAAAAATATCTTTAAAAATATTCAAAAGTGATAAAATTATGTACATAATAAAATGATGTAAACCTGGAGGTTGTATTTTTATATTGCAACAAAATACAGATAGTATATCAAATTCGACTATCTTTATATAAATAGTGAATTACATTTTCGTTTAGGGGAGGGGGGGGGGGGGGGGGTTGGCCAGTTTCTTAAAAAAAAGAAAGAAGGTAATTCACTCATTACATATAGATAGTCGTATTTGGTATACTATATGTATTTTGTTGCAATATAAAAATACACCCTATATATATATATATATTATCGTAAAATTCTGAGAGCATTTGAGTGAGATACAAGCTCGGTGCAATAAGGTTTGAGAAAATAATGTAATGCCTTTTTTAAAACAAAGAATTGCCAATAATTATATGACGTACTTGTATTTTAAAAAATAGTGTGCGTCAAATTTGTCACATGTCCGTGTGATTCAGTGTCAAATCACTTTCAGTGTCAAATCACTTTCAGTGCTATAGAATGGTTACGTGTTGACCTTTATAGGCTGTTGTATTGTCAAGCTTTTCTTTCACTTTCTTCGTCGTATTATATTTCGGGAAGGAAACGGGTAAGAGACGTATATCAATCAATCCTGCCTTACAAAGAAGACAGTGAGAGGGCGATGAAATCCCTTTTTACTGACCTCACACTGTAGCCTGCCTATCCAATGTTTCATTGTAATACATGTATCTGTATTACGGATATTCTGTATACAATCATTGGGGAAAAAAATATGGTATATTTCATATTTTTAAACTACTTTAAGTGTATTCTATTTGTTATCGCATATTTTACTTTTTTTATTAAAAAAATCTAATCCAGTTTCAGGGTTTGATGTCAATCCCGATAGTGCTTAATGACAATAGGTGTCAAACAGAAAAATGTTTTGTCGACTCAACAATTATCTCCAACTTTCCGAAAGTATAACGACCTTCCTTCTGAAATTATTTGGAGGGAATTTTTTCTTACATTGTGCCCTAATTTTCCTGTAATAATCCTTTCAATTGTTGTAGAATTAGTGCAATTGGTTTTATTTTTCGAAGTTTTTCTGCCGTTCTTAGTCGTTTTGGGCTGACTTGATCCCATAATGCATGTACGCATTCTAAGGAAAAAATAATTTGCTCTGATTATGTTTTGCTCTGATTATATCTTGTATTTATATAATTGACGTACGCCTTTTTATTTTTTTCTCGCATTATTGCGAGATCTTGTAAACTCAACTGTAAAATGCATCTCATAAAGTTACTATTTATATTGCCAATGTTTTTAATACAGAGAATACATAGTTTGAAGGCGAATGAAAATTATCGTGAGGAAAATGATAATTTGACACTTATTTTTCTATAGACCGTTTATAGAACGCACTGATTTCTTTGTCTATATTTTTCATACGCTTGTCATTGGTTTGGTATACAATTTGTGAACGGTATAGTAACATCAATGTGTTTAATGTATATACAAATATATACATGTAGGCCTATATATATATATATATATTTATATATATATATATATATATATAAATGTGTGTGTATCAATTATCTTGTAACTACGTTGTATTTTGTTTATGTGCTGCCAGTGGAGGCCAATTTTCTATGTTTTGATTACGGATCAATAAAATAATCTATCTATCTATCTATCTATATGTGTGTGTGTATTGGTAGATAGTTTTCAGATGAATTTGCCATTATGTGAATAAAGCACACTAAAGCTAAATGATGATTTGTACTTGACTGTTGTATTCGTTTGTCAGGGATAAACAACTATGGCTGCTTGTTTTATGTGATATCAGAAAAGAGCGGAGTGACGAATGTTCTGGGAACACAAGCACAAGCAAACAAATAAAAACAAAACCAGACAAAACAAAAACAACAGCCGTAAAACATAACGTAGTACATTTCCAGGTATCATTTGGCACTTTCGGTTAAAGAAAAATCTGGGGAGGGCCGGGGGGCGAATTTTTTTTTCCCAAACAGGTTTACCTATGAGAGTAAAATCCTGCCTCCTGATTGGTTCAGAGGTATACGCGTCATGAATATTCACGAGCTGAGTTCACAGCACTGTGGCTGAGCTGCAGTACCTAGTATATGTATTACGCATGCGCGTGGACTTCAGTTTTGCTGGCCATTTAGGTGTACAAAATGTATGTGAGCTAGCTGTGGTGCGAGGGGATTTTTATTGGGGGAAGGGGGGGGGGGGTCTGTTTGTTTTTGAACATTTCTGGTTATTCAGGTGCTTGGTTTATATAGTTTTACACTGCGGATTTTTTTTCTCAAAGAGTTCACATACAGTACATACACTAATATTCCAATTTCACACATAGGCTATACATACAAACACTATCTTTCTCTCTCTCTCTCTCTCTCTATAAACACAGACCCACCCTTATGTATTTACAAACACATAAGCAACAAATGCACACACACACACAAGCTGTCCAGAATACACAATAGACACACACAAGGGGTATGAATTATCTTATCAGGATGGTCCGACATGAGATGGTTGGATGTGGGTCAAAGCCACTGTGTTGCTCTGAGCATGATATCTTGACAAACATTTAATATTATCACCCGTAACTGAAACCAACACACAATAATATCACGGTATTAGTCTCTTTTTGTTCCACCAAGCTAATTTTTGCACCTTGCACAAATGCACTTCTCAACACGAAATATTTCACTAAATTTGTTTTGTTATTTTCACTCAAAATTAATTCAGCCATGCTCACTTTTAATCCCTTCACTTATATCTTATTTAACATTGCATACAATGCAGTTGCATGGGTTGTTCTTTTATTTTGTTAACTCGGCAGAGGCCACGGTCATGTTCAAGCATTTACGCTTACGACATGTGGTCTCCTGCTTTTTCCTTTTGTATGAAACTTTTATTTTAACTAGAAACAAATTTTGTCAAACTTACATGTTATTCATTATATTTATTTGTATGTTTCTTTGTATTGATATGAAAAAGTGGAAATAAAACAAAACAAACAAACATATCAGTGGTTCTGGTTCCTTTGTGACAGATGAACCTGGCCAAAGAAAACAAAGGACATAAAGTAATATATACAGGCTCTACACATGTCAAAGACAAGCTTTTCCATGCATGCAGTGTATAGCCTACGTACTATAGCTGCGCTGCATCAACGAACTCAAACTTGGATTTCGATGAGCTGCATGAGCAGCTTCGCCTTGTGTCACGCGCATGCGTAATACTACTAGTATCTTTCAGCTCAGTCATGAATATTCATGATGCGTATACCTCTGAACCAATCAGGAGGCATGATTTTACTCTCATAGGTAAACCTGTTTGGGAAAAAAAAATTCGCGGCCGGCGAGGGGGGGGGGGGGGGGGGGGGGGCTTCAGCCCTTGTGCCCCCGTTTATTTCGTTATGACTGGTCCCTGATACCTCCGTCACACCGCTAACCCGACTCCAAACCGATACCAAACTGACGGATGCTCGGCTATTTGTCGAAGTGAAAGTTCTTGTCCGATGTTAGCTCGGACCGGTATCGGTCTAGTGTGTGTGACTGGGGCGTGATCGAAGTTTACACTATAGAAGCATTGTATCACAGCCAGGCTAAGGTAACGTTTTTTGTTATCAAACTTTTACTGAGCTGTTTCTCTAATTTGTCGGCTTCTGTTAAAATCAAATGAATATCAGGGTGGACTTCCCATTTAAGAGATTTTGTTCGGCATACTGAACATCCTGTCGGCTAAGGCCATTAAAAAATATACATGTTTAGCGTCCCCGCCCGCTTCCATTTTGGGGGCCGCCTCCTATTTTTTTATTTAAAAAAAAAAAAAATTGTTGTTAATTTTTTTAAAAACATGAAAAACACTGCTAAAATGGATCTATTTCATTCTTCTTTTTTTTTATTAAAAAATGTCGGCGGCCATCTTGAAAAATAGCCGGACTGTCAGGGAAAATGTACCGAGCGGCCATTTTGAGCGGCCGTTTTGAAGAAAAAATAGAAGAAGAAAAGAGCCTCCTCCTTCCTATGTTTAAAAAAAGCAGGACGCTAAACATGTTTTCTTTTTATTTGGCCTAACCGGTCGACGGCACATTCGCTTTCATGAGCTGTTTCTCCTAGTAAAGGCGCCCGCGTTAATGTTCATACTGCAGCTAACACGACAAATAATACAATAAAAGAACTTCTCAAATGCCAAGTAATAAAAACACAGACACCTATATGACTTATGTCAAACTGATTTATATTTGATATAAATAGAGCACAATATTTCAAAATAAATTGTGAAAGATAAGCAACCTCTTAGAACAACACGAGATAATATATTACGATAAAGAGAACGAACTATTGACTTTATTACATGTCTACACTCTAAAAACTGAAATGTTAAATCACCATTAAAAGGGCCGAGGAGTGACCACTCTTTCAAAATGTCAGATTGATACTTTTATCCTGCTAGATTCAACCTTTATAATGTTGGATCCAGCATGTTTAAAGTGTTAATCTACCATTTTGAAAAAGTGGTCACTCCTCGGCCCTTTTAAATGGTGATTTAACATTTCAGTTTTTAGAGTGTAGTGGCATTCTAGAGCATGAAAAGTGCAGTTGGAGGTGCTGAGAAAGGACTTTCGCTCATCAGTACAAGGTACACACTAGTCAAGTAGTTAGGGGTGAGTAGGACCCAGAAATATTTACACTGAAATATGGATCTTCTTTCTTCGTATTGTTGACAAATTCAAAAGCTTGATTTTTTTACCTCAAAATTCCAAAAGCTCCTGTTTTCACTTGTACATTTCAAACGTACTGGAAACACTTTCCTACTGAAAAATGTGTATTGTCTTCAATTCTCCCCCTCTTTCTCTCTTTCCCCTCGTCCCAACTTTTAAAGTCTTCGTGTCGCCATTTAGCATGGTAAATGAATTTAAAACAACACAGAGAAAAGAAAGCACACTGTAGATTACTCATACGCTGGATATTCCTATGCATTCAGTACACCTATATACGATTCTTTTGCGTTTACCATAGCAACGAACGAGAAGATCTTTTGTGCAGATTGTTACAACAGATTTATCTCACTGCCAAACAAGAACATGGTTTTATCCTTCTCTCAATCAGACTGAATTAGATTCAGAAAACACCATTCTTTGGATAGCTTGAACGGAATAAAAATTTTAGTACAAATTTATAACGATATAGTACTGAAATAATAACACTTCTTATATTGTACTGGTAGATATTTTGTACTTTACAAGAAAATGTCATGCGCTATAATTAATTTCTACCTACTATGGAAAAAAAGTACAATGTTTCAACTACGTCTGATTCCACACACAGCGGTTTCAATATGAGCGTATATAGCACGTTGATCATTAAATCGCATTCAATGTAATAGCTAGGTTTAAACAAAATACGAACGGGCTGAAGTTCAGAATAACTTACAAAAGTTAAATTCGAAGTTATTGTTTGATTTTTGATAAAAAATCTTGTTGATGTCATTTAGATATTTGCTGTCAAAATCGTTTAATTTCATTACTACCAACATTTAAAATATAATATAAATTGAACATTCACATTCGAAGTACTAGATACATTGTCAGTATGTTTCAATATAGTTGTTCATATTGATAAAAAGAGTTCAATGTTTCATACGCATTTTAAACATGACTCTTAAACGTTTATTTTGGTGAAAAAACAAATTCTACGACAATTTTCATAGCATAATATAGAACTGATGTAGGTAATGAGAGGGTTAATAAATGTTATTAACATGCTACATCAAAAACATTTCATACACGCAGAACGAGTATGAACTGAGATAATGTTTGTACTACTACATAGATGTCGTCCTGTAGACATGAATAAGCAGTGTATTGATTGACGATTAAATGGAATTCTTCAAATCAACAACTGCATAATTACGTCAATCTAAAGTTGTACGTGGTATGTCTCGCTTGTGTGTGGTAGGTTTTACGGCAAACAGAAAGAGAAACGTTTTTAAACGATGCAAAACCCTGTCTAAGCTTCAGCTACACTCTTTAACTTGCATATAATATTAAACAACACGACAATTTCACAAGAGCTAATTTCCTTTTTATCGTAGGCTTATTGGTGGAAACCGTTGCGTTGTATTTGCTAGAACGCTATATCGGACCGTCAATCGCTGTAGGTTGCGTATCTTTCTTGTCGTACTGTAGGCCTATATCTCTTAAAAACAGATTTGAAAGGCACTCTTTCCTTCGCACACACGTAAACAAATATCAGTCTCAATTCTGGCACCATATCGTCATAAAAACTCTGCTTTGACTGCACTTTCAGTGCATCCATTTCTTTTCATTTTGCTACAATCTTGCAGTTACTCGATTCTTGTTTTTGCTACACCGTTGCTCGATGTATTTGGCTACGCGTAAGAGTCTGACTTCGTCAAAATGGCGGCTGACGAGGGTTAACCCAACCGGGAGTCCGTTGATTTTCCCGACGGGAATGTTGATGGCTGGATGGCCAGTAGTGTTGAATGGTTTGGTATTGATGGAACAAGCAGAACTCATTTTGAAGTGATCTGAAATAATTATTATAAAAAAAACATATAAAAAAAACATAAAAAGTCGATGAACGTTCATTTATAACGCACAGGGTTTTGTTATTCTTTACAGAGAGGTCAAATTGCATTCAAAATGTTGTCATCCTTTTATCAGTCGTTTTGGCGTTTGACCAACTAGATGATGCAGTTGCTGACTGACTTTAATACTGCAATTCTTCCGCCTATCCTCTACATGCTTCTAAGGATACACCGGGAAAATGGACATCAAGAGTAATGGTGTATCCATTATTAGTGGGTGGATTGAATGTAGCAACTTTGTTTGACACCCCCGCCCTTCCCCCGGTAAATGAAATGGGAGCATCTCTAATTTTGATACGTCACTGTATGAGTTGTGTCATTTTATGACAGATTCGCCAAGAACAATGTCCATTTAGGCTTTATTGTACATATTGCTGAACAATTACAATGTGATAATGATAAAGAACAATCAATTTTGTGTATACCTTCGATGGAACAGTCTTGCGTGGGTAACTTGCTGGCTGTATATGACACAGTAGGCATGGCTAGAATATCAACTTCTTGAAGGGCTCTATCGTACGCATGTCGTAGTGCTAACACCAAGTTGCGACCTTTCGCATAGAAACGACCCTGGTAGTTCTTCTTCAAGTACTCCCCAAGAAGTCTTGTCAGCTAAAAAGACATTTAAAAAAGACAATATTTTGGTAGATCATAATTAAACTCGTTTCGGAAGGGGGAGGGGTGCTTGCAGTCGAAATATACAAGCGGATCCTGCGGGTATAGTTGATAAACGCAGCTTAAAAACTACAACGTTGATGCTATTCTCAATGGCGAATAATACAATATCAAGTAATATACTCACTATCTCAATTCTAGAAAACGTAACATATGGGATCTTCAAGATCGAACATGTTGGTTACTGAACAACATCAGATGAAAATGTTCATCGCGTCAAAAAGGTTTGATTTATCAAGTCAATTAAGTACTTGCCTGTAAAGATTTTGCCGAAAAAGACTCCTTGCAGTTAATCAGTAATTAATGAACAAAAATAAAGTTACACGAGCGGGCAAATATAATTAGCTTTTCATTTAGTTCACCCATTTAGAGTTGCTCCACTCATCATTATAACATACTCCAGAATAAGAATAACATAGACCAGTTATTCTTACCTTAGTTCGATGTGAAGCATCATTTGGTCTTGATTTGAATGCCTTTCCTACTTGTGATATCATACTGGATGGGTAGTAACCTTGATGACCGTATCCACCACCTTACAAAAAAAAAACGAAAAATAAAGAAAATGTTCTAAATCGATATCTAGATAACATATCCTTAGAAGTGCAAAATATTTATTTACACGCTCATCTTTCCTCTAAACACATGTTGCCTTCTGAACTATTGAAATGATAACACAGTATTTCAAACTTTTACATCATCTCACATCACCATTATTTCTTTTCTTTCGATTCGGAAATCCGATTGCTATCAGATACAAAGCTTGATAATTTGTCGGATGTTTTTTTTAAAACAAGATATATAAGAGGCACAAAGACATAGTAAGTGTAACATAGTCGTTGATTATCTTTCAAAACAATGTATATTATGTTGATTATGTTGATTATGTCCCAAAAGACTTACCTCCATTCTGAAGCATAGCTGCGTTGATTCCTTCAGCAGCAAAACAGGCATAGGCCATGTAACCTGATAAGAATCGAAAAAGGTCGGTTTAGTCCAACGCTTTATTAACAGGATGAAAGAATAGTTTATCATTATATGGATAAACTGGTATTGCACGAAACAGAGGCGCCTGGAAACAAACATGAAGCATTGTGTTTTCCCTGCGCTCGACCAGACTTGTCATGCTTGTAAAAGGAACAGTTTTGATCTGTGCGTATCTGGTAAAACATTTTCGGCAGTTTTTTTTATAGAACGAATCAGAATCAGAATTCTAAATTCCAAACCAATCAAGTTCGAAATGTCAAATGCACACTTTGAAAGCTAGGATATCCTAGACATGAAATACGGCAGAGGAAAATTACTAAACGGTAACAAAAAATCCGGCCGAAATGAGGCAAGACAACTTTTGAAGGTGGGTAAAAGAACAGCTATAATAGACATTTTTGTTGTTGTAATGACTCACCTAGTTTATGCATGGGAACAGAAACGTCTTCGACCTGCGCTCCATGGTGTCTCAGCTGAATGATAGTATCGTAAACTAATGATTTCACCATAGAATCTCCACACTCAGTGGTGAATCCTTCGATCAGAATCCCGATTCTCTCCTCTTCAATACGACAATCTTGAATCTGAAATGATGAAATAAAATGCACAGTTATGAATTATTTATGTAAAAAAAAAATTTAAAAAAAAAAAAAAAAAAAAAATCGTCGCCAATTTCAGTTGAAGTAGTTCTGATCCGGTGGCGTATATACAGGGTAGGGAGGATCTGGCTTAAGCCCCACCCAATTTTAAGACTCCAAATCCATTCGAAAGTAATTTTGTGGAGCACTATAATGATGGGTGCCCCAAAGGAAAATGAATTGAATGCGTCAACACTTTCAAGACGAAGCATCGCCTCAAAACCCCTAGCACTGGTGTGCCTTCCACATTTACAAAATAATATCGCCCCATAATAAAATTATGAAAAAATAACCGAAATCAAACAAAACTTGAAGTATAATTTTCTTACCTCTTTGGTATATTGTGGTACTCTGATATTTGGATGTTGCCTGTGGTCGAGACCGTTATCGTACCCCGCGATGACCTGAGGATGAAAGAAGGTGAGACGGGTTGGAATCGATGATACAAACACTTGAAACAAAATAAGGTTTTCTTTTGTTATAGTGACGTAACAGAAATGATTTAGATTACACATTATTGCTTTCTTTTGTAACTGAGGATAATTATGATATCCAAATACATTGTGAATAGTATAACTAATATTTGAGGAATCTAATTACGAAAGGCAACAGGTCGATTTGGTTTGAAAAATACATAAAGCGGCGGGTGTCAGACATGGGCCAATTTTATCTAAAATAATTCGTAGCCTAGCTGTCTGTCACCTGTCTGTCACATACATAAGTGAATTATCTAGATAGCTATTATCTAGATAATTCAAGATGGATCCGGAAAATTGTGTCTGACATCGCCTATTATGTCACTCTCATACAGAGATTTGTTGTATACGCACCTCGAGTAGAAGAGCGCAGTCATCGACAGTCCTTCCTAGAGGTCCGATGTGATCTACGGTAGGTTCTAGCGACATAGCACCGGTATATGGGACCAGCCCATACGTAGGTTTCATCCCGTAGACACCGCACCAAGCCGCCGGCAACCGGATTGAACCGCCTTGATCCGTTCCTAGTGCCATGTCCACGTCACCAGCTGCTATCTGTAATCAGTCAGAGGGAGTCAACAAAAAAGGTAATTTAACTATAACAAATATATGGGAATACATAATATTATTAACTTAGGTGGTTGAATATAAAATGTAAAATATATTGAATATAACTATGAAACCAAGATTTAAAAAAAGGAAAGAAGAAATGTCATTAGTCTTTAGCAAAAAAAAAAAGGGGGGGGCATCCCTAACTAGTGGATAACTCTCTAAAAGATTTTTAGGCACCATTTGACATAATTTCAGGAAATGTGACCTATCATTCCTATTTAATTTGTCAGCTCAATGACATTCGTAAACCTCTGTAAACCTTCGTATACCTCCACATTCAATTCCCTCCATGCTAGTTTTAACCTGAATCGTACAACATCGCTTTAATCTACAATCGTGGCTTTACATAATGAAAATTACATGCCTTTCGATATTTTTTAATTTTATTTAGTTAAAGGCTCACATTTTTCTTTTCCGTTTGTTTTGAGGTTCTATATAAAGCTCAAATTATCTACGTGTGTGTTCAATAACGTCTTTTCTGGGGAAAATCAGCAAACTTTAACATTCTCCAAGTATATCTTTGTTATGTGCGAAGACAGTACAATTCATCGGACAGATACTTTTGTTTTTATAAAGCCGTGGACCTACCGCTGCAGCACTGCCTGAGCTAGAACCACCAGAGCTTCGTGTGGTATCATGAGGGTTAAGTACTGGTCCACCAGCTCCAGTAAAGCTACTACCAGAGTAGCACAAATCCTCACACCTGGTCTTTCCGATGATCGTTCCACCTGGTGTAGGAACAAAACAAAAACATTTGCCATCAGGAGTGGCATGACGAGTTTGACCTTTAAGTGAGTTTATTTACTGTGGTCAGTTGGGTATTGACCAGTTTTCACAAACATTAATTATTTTTCACAAGGTTTTTACTGCAAATGATAAAAAAAGTTTATTCTTTGATAAATGTTGTATTTGCCTTTTTTAGATGCATATAATTATTATATTCATAATTCTGTTAGTGTAAATGTTTTTAAACGTAGGTATAAGAAATTTCTTTTAGATAAACTGCAATAATCATTTAAGTTCAAGACATATTTTATTTGTTTGTTGTATGTATGTTTGTTGTCTTGATTTGAGTATAGTATAATGTTTAGTAACGGATATATTTCATATTTGTTTATTATAAAAAAGGGTCAACCTTTATATAAGGATTACTTTTTTCCTTTCAGGTTGCAACCTATTCAGTTTATTTTATGTCCAAATGTCAAATATGTTCGTAATGTGTATTTTATGTTATATAGCTGGTTGTTATATGAAATGTTGTCTTTTTAAACTGAATGAAATAAAATTGAATTGAATTGAATTGAATAGTATTTTTTTTTTTTTAAAGATTTCAAAGTTATATTTGGTGTTACAAGATGATTCATTGAGAGTTACTTTGATATCAAAGTAATTGGAAATTTGACATATTAGCAGTATGGAAAGCTTAAAGCCACACTGTACCAGCTGTAGCTACTTGCTTCCTCTTTATAGAAAACAATGTCTAATCGGTGACCATTGGTCCCCCATGATCCTCTTTTTCTTATGTTAATTGAGAGCTGAGATAACCACCTATCCAGTGACCTTGCAGGGTGGTCTAATCCCTCCTATAAACTAATACAGATAAAATTTCCTAATTTTACAAAATTTACCTTGGTCTAATATTCTGGTTACTACCGTCGCATCGAAGTCAGGAACATAACCCTCCAATGCGTGACATCCGTTCATGAGTGGGACGCCAGCTACGGCAATGTTATCCTTCACAGCAATTCGCTTACCCAGAAGTTTACCGCGTTTTGCTCCGCGGATTTCACAGACATGGGTCCTGTTAGTGATAAAGATATAAATGAACTAATAACAAGGTATTATGGGGTAAAAAGGTCTAAAATTTGCATGTAATATCTAAGATTTGGTTTAGAAATATATAAATGAGCTTGTACCGTCAGTGATATACTAAATCGTTAATTCTTTTAGATCGTGCTCTTGTGTGCCTATGTAATTGTGATTAAACGTATGAAGTAATTATCGTTATGATAACTGCACCAGAACATGCATTTTATTCTTTGAAAAGTAAATTTTAGCTCTCATTAACGATGCCACGACTTACCATGCGTTATAAGGGTTTTCTTGAGAATCGGGTTTATGACCAGGAATCCTTGGGTATTTGACAGGAAGGGTTGGCTCTGGAAGGCGACTGGCTTCATTTAGAGTGTGTATTGTACGTTTCATCTGTGTACGGTACGCCTGAATAAAATTATAATATAAAGAATTTTAGTACATATTAAACAAAAAGTCACTCGGAATTTTGTTTATAGTCTGGCGGAAAAAGATAACAAATGATAAGATGGAAAAAGTAGGTCATACACTCTCTTCCCGTCTTTCCATACATAAGGAAGTTTGTTTCCGCATAATATTATAAGGTCAAAACAACCCATCCTATCGTGCATGTACTTTCTTTTCTGAATCAGAAACAGAAAATCCACCATTTTGAGCTCTGCGACCTGCGTTTTAACTCATACCTTTGAGATCCTTTTCGATTTACACTCCTTCCGAAATTATGAAATAATCGCAAAGGTGATAATGTTTGCAATTTGCCTTTTATGACAAATTCTAACCAACAAATATAAATAAACTGATCATATTTTATACAATCAATTCACCCTCAACCTCGTCAAGCTACATGTATGCTTACATCGAGGAAGATGGGCGTTCAGGGATTCCAGAAGCTATAGGAGATGACAGAATGAAATTGGCTACAAGCTCCCAAAGATCGCCAGTATTTGGAGGAGGCTTAGGACTCACTCATCAAACTCATCCGATCTCATTACATGCATTCTTGCTGAATCACAACGGTTGAGTTAGACTAGGTGACAAGGATAATTTACTTTCTGACTCTGATAATAGTGCCAGTTATACGAAGGGCTCTAGTTCTTGCAATTTGAACCGTAGGATGAAATATCTTGGCTCTATAATGAGGCGAGGAATGCGATCGAGCGTCTGTTCCGTCATGATCGCTGCCAGCAACAAATTAGCGGTTTATTACTATATCGTTATGATTTGTATATTTAGAAAATAAACCGCAGATATCTTTTTTTCTGAATGTGACATGGGCTGATGGCGAAAGTTTTGTCCATCATAAGCAATATCATTTTCATGTGCACTTTGCCTTTTCGTAAACACTTACTTTAAAGAATAAATTTGATATATTCAATATTGTAGAGGTCTATTTAAGTGGCAGGAAGATCAGAAAAAAATTGGTTTCGAAAGATTGTTTGAAGCTTTAAACTGAAAGTACTAGATGCAGAGGTTTCGATGTCAAGGATTACAATGGTCTTTTGTAGATCAAATTTCATTCGAGTCATATGATTTATGGAAAAGCTTCAATTCGATGTATAGTAATTTTTATCTCCCTGCAATTAAAAACATTTTTTCCTCATCATATTCTATCAATTGAAAGCACACATAAATATGCTTTAAATTGTTTGTTTTTTAAAGTAGAGGAAAAAATGATAACATGATACTTACTTTGAGCTCATCTGAGCTGAGATCCATGTTGCAATGTCGGGCAATCTCTCCTAGTTGATTGATTGAAGGCATATGGACAGCAGGAGATGAGTACGGAGCTAAAGAGAGAAAGAGAAGAAGAGAGAGAGAGAGAGAGAGAGAGAGAGGGAGAGAGAGACCAAAATGTTATAGAGTTCGACATCTACACATTCAATAACCAAATCTACATTAATTGATACAATTTGACAATCGTAGGTGCTATCGTGTAAACCAATTAAAATATTTCGTTAATATCGTAATAGTCATCTGCATATCTTATGAGTGATTCAACATGAATAATATTTCATTCAGATATTACACTGAATCTTTCATGAAAGATGTTACTATCCTGCAAATGGCAATGGTGACACTGCCGGGGGGGGGGGGGGGGGATGTTAAGAAAAGAAAGATACAAAGATATATGTTTGCACCCAATTTTTTTTTAGCAAAAACGTTGCATGAGATCATAAATAGTGTGAGTTATCAAATTAGAAGATGAAACATTTGAAATATAATGTACATTTACCTTTGTTCCTAACGGGATGTTCGTGTATCCTCTCTCCATTCTGGATCACCCTCCTCTTTGTCTCTTGTCTCTCCTCTTCCCCTTGACCCTCTTCGACGGGATAACTGGTAGGAACTTGCTTCCGAGACATATTTTACATGTTGTAGCTGCATGGAAAGTATAATAGAGATTATTATTCATTTTTGTTTCTTTCACAAAGAGATAGGTTGATGAAATGCATCAGTATGAAATTACATCCTGATAATGTTTTTAAACAAAGAGGCCATAGTGTTGCCCCGATCAGCTCTGTGTAGAGAAAGAGCAAGGGTGAGATAGAAAGAGGGAGAGAGAGAGAGAGAGAGAGAGAGAAGGAGAAGAAGAAGAAGAAGAAAAAGAAGAAGGAGGGAAAGAAGAAAAAGAAGAAGAAAAAAGGGGGAGGGGTATAAATACTGGGAACGGAGATATGGAAGCAATACCGATAAAGTTATGTGATTTATTTGATTTTTAATTAAATCATTTCTATTTCTTAATAGCTAGTTTCATTTTACTTGAATCCATTCTTTAAATAGCAGTCACTTTTTATGCTATTGCAACAACATATTTCATTATACCGATCAGTCTTAGACGATCAACCAATCCAGTTTTAAAAAAACATCTCAAACTATATCATGTACTGTATCTGATACCATTTCACCTTTGTAATATCCAATTTCATTGAATATCGAGGAATCTTGAATTTGATTCTCTCTTAGTTTAAGTTTTTTCTCACTTCAAACTGTCTCCCTCACAGCAACATGACGATTTAAGTACGATAGAGAACAAGCAAAAGTACAACATGAGCCTCTGATTACAATTGTGGAATGTTTGAGTACCCTTTCATCATTGAAGTCATGTCCAAGGTTGAAGTCCCTTAATAAACATTCCCTGAAATTAACCTGACACTCAAAATGTCATTCATACGCAATGTTTACCGTGCACTGAAAGTTCTAATTACCATTTACTTCAAATATTAACATGTCTCTTGAAATCATTTTGATTCAGCATTTATAGAGTGTTTGCAGTTCAAAGTCTACATTGTCTATAGTTACTCTTCGAGGGCTCTGATAAATCAGGGGGAATCGAAAGGGCTGGATAAATCACAGTCACATAGATTCTAAAGATTGAAATCATTTCCCCCAAATGAAAAGAAATTAATCATCACAATTGTATCATAATCATCACTTCCGGCAACGTAAATTGCCTTTAATGACTAAAAATCCAAGATATTGTAATTGATACGGAAACTTTCTTTGGTGTGAGAAATTGTTAAGCTTCTACCAACCTTAACATCACTTGGCTAAGTTAGCTTGAGAAGGTCCACATCAGTGAATGAGAGCTTGCCTATTAAATTTCGTGGATATGTACAATGCTTACAGACAAATAATAAGCCAGGCAAGGAAATCTACGGAGTTTATGACTTGAACATATCAACTTGAAGTGATATTAATGGTTCCATATAACTTTAAAAACACAACTTGTTGTCCAGAGAGGTATCAAATCGTAATGTTTAATGATCGTTTTCCCTCTTCAAGCTTAAAAAAGTGGTGAACAATGCAATTTTATATTCGCAACCACTTAAAACTTGTAAACAGTATCCATATTGGGCCTATCTTATTCTAGAGAGCTGAAGGACATTACTTTGAATCCGTTTTTATTTGCCTTCGAGGCTAACTACATACTGCACATGCAACTTGGCTGAATTGATATATTATCTTCTTTTTCCTTTTTCTTGTATAGTGCCATTTCTCATTCGGCGCTAAATCAAATAGAATGACTCAAAATGAGAAAGGAGACTACTGGCAACGCGTGAATGGAGAGATAGAGAAAGAGAGAGAGAGAGAGAGAGAGAGAGAGAGAGAGAGAGAGAGAGAGTGAGAGAGAGAGAGAGAGAGAGAGAGAGGGAGAGAGATGAAATGGAAAATTAATAGAATGACACGAAATGGAAGCGAAACGAATATGCAAGGATATCGTGAATGATGTATTGTCTTGACGATGCGTGCTTGTTAATTTTGAAGCGAGCCAGAGTCATTGTCAGAAGTGCTTTAGAAATCATACAACCATCTCTTCTACTGGTAGAAAAAAAAATCAAACTAATTCATCACACCGATACATGCATTCTCACGCACGTGCGCTCGGGACTGCCTAGGGACGTGTCACCACTTCCAATAATCGAATTGATGATGTTAAAGTGATCATTCATGCATGGGAATCACTACGGGTATAATGGATATGAATCAGAGCTTCGGTCTACCTTCAAATTACAGGAACGCACTCATTTGCTTGTCTAATCAAGCTAATAGAGATGCTTTCTATTTCAAAGCCAAATAATAATCAACTATCATTGAACCCCCCCCCCTTCCCTCAGAAAAGACAAAATATAAAAATACAACGTGCATTACAAAAATGCTTCTTGATAAATGTCTGAATAACACTGAAACAAAAACTAAAGCTTGATCGTCAGGATCGAGCACTGAAATGAATATTGACTTGATTGGTTCAGAAATAGCAACATTATCGATATTGAAACATTTTTTACTTAATTTTCAGGACGACAGAAGCTTATTTTTGTTTAATGAAATGTTTTATTTCTACAAACAGAAGTAGTACAAATCAAATCAAAGAAAATTCAAATTATATCATTCAGAAGTCAAATCAGTTACGATTCACTACATTTCTTGTTCATCCAAAAAGTTATACAGAAGAACAATGTTAAGAATATACATATTTTTTAACATTAAAAAAAAAATCAAACAAAGCTTTGAACATGAAATGATAATAATCTTTAAATAAAACATAAAGGCCTAGTACTAACCCTGGAAAATAGAGAATTATTATTAAAACCAACAACAAACAAACAAACAAACTACCTATGATTATCCCAATGGATTCATGACAGCTTTCTGTATCAGCATTCTCTTGACTGCAAACTGGTAAAAAATAAAACCCAATCGAATATAACCCCAAACTCAAAATTTAGTATGAAATCACATCCTAGCTTTAATGTCGAATCTCTCTTCACTGCTTTAATGGGTGTTATCCCGCAGTCCGAGGTACCGTTATTGGTGCTGGTACTGATTACCGATATTGCTAGATGCCTGAGCAATCTTTCGACGAGACGCTATTTGACAGCGTGGCCTTTATTAACGAATAAAGCTTTTAGCTTTCGAGTGTTCAGTGATTGCCGAACAATCATGGTTATTGGTGCAAATATTGGACGCACATCTTTTTATATTAAAATGTAGTGACTGAGTCATTCTCGCTGGATTAATAACCACAGTACCCCCCTACCCTCCCTACACACGGAGAGATTAAGACACAATTTAGATGAAGGGGTAGAATCATATTGATACCGATGGCATATTCATGACAGATTAATTATATAGTATGAAGGCTACCGATATTCTTTTCATGCAAAATTACATTTTATTTTCATTTTCAGACTATCGTTGCACTCAAAGTGTTTCTCCCCCTTTTTTAAGTATATATTTTATATAAAATATATAATATGCTTAAAATTATGCACTGATATATTAATGCATGCCAATAAGCATGTACGTCTGTATGATATAGCCTATATTTTAGCAGTCCTTGATAATAATTTGTCTGATGTCTAAACACTGAAGTATATTCAGTATCACGTGTTGAGTCACCTCGGAAGAGCCGTTATATCTCATGATTACAAAGAACTACAAAAGACAAACTTTGCAAAAGAATATAAAAGATTGATGCTGTATATACCATCTTAGAATGCCGGACTCAGTGCACCACTGGCTGAATACGGGAAAAGTAAGCAGTCTGGATAATGCGATTTGAAATAATCATGACTTTCTTTTCCTTTCTTTTTCTTCCAGTCAGAGTTTTACAATGGATGCTGAGAGTTAATGTAATCGCATTTCTGCGTAATCTCAGCTTCTTAGCTTTAAATATGCTTAGTTTCATGGTTTCTTCTTTTTGAGGAAAAGTTCTTAATCTTTGAATTCCTCTGGCGATAAATAAATCCATTGGAGATTTCCATAAAGGGGCTTTTCACAACTACAGACAAAATCTATTCCCCCTTTTTTCAATGCTGATTGAGGGAATGGGTAGTACACGCTTACACATAATACGTAGTTAAGTTGAGGCAATGATGTTAACTTTACCAACCAGGAGTAAATCATTTTTCGTTGATGCACTGGTAAAACTAAAAGTCTTAAAGGAAAATGACAAACTTTGGCACGCATACCGATGGAGTGTGAAACGAGTCAATGAACAGTCTTATAGGAGCTCTTTGTATACGCCATTGTTAAAAATCAGTCAGTGCATAAATGGGCTTGTATGTAAATTGAACCCCCACGCTTTCTATTCCTTTCTCTATCTGCTCCTTATGTCATAACAACTGCTGAATATGCAAAAACAACATCATTCAATGTTCACGAACTATGACTTTATAAAGGGTGGACTATTTCCCCCAAACCTCTGCCAATCATGATATTGACAGTATGTGCACCATGCACGGTTATGTCAGTTCATTCATGGACCTACTACAAAGTTCATGTCAGTTCATGTAAAGGTCTATACACATATAACATAAACTATGCCTATTTCACAATCATGATGGTGTTCCATTTTCAACATAAGGATTATTGTATCATTTCTTCTACCTTTTGGTGGTCTCCAGAAGTAATTGCGAAATACACAAAAAGTACGGAAAGAACACCGGTGATCTTCAAGATAACAATCCTATCTCTTCCTCCTACGATGTTTCTATTTCCGTGATCACATGGTACTAGTAATCATATGACAAATATAATCACCTCAACCTGATATTGACACCAAAAGAGCTTATCCGGGTGTGAGCCTTCCCCTTTATCACATACAAGCTTACATGTATATATACACTCCCCAGGATTTTTGTAGTACCTGTATCTTTAGTTTGTCCTCAGATCGAATTATTTGTAAATATTGGGTCGGAACGACTTGAATGACAATCTGTCAAAGATACTATGTCCCTTTTGCAGCCAACAGCAAATTCTGTAAAACTTTGCAGGAATTATGAGTATGTCATGTATGTTTTATATGTGAAATTTAAACAGCAGTGTCCTAGTATTAACATTATGCAAGAAAACCTGCTTACCTTCTAGACTTCACTGTTCGCACTATTGAGTGGCTGACTGACATCTTTTTTTCTTTGGTAATAACATAAACTGAGCTGTAACAGGTACATGAGCATTCGTCTACATCAATAACCCGCTACTTGTAATAGCCAAAAGTGAACTGATTGCATCTCTGTGCAGCACAAAACGTACGACAATTCGGTAAAAGGGTCTGAAATTACTTAATAGGTGATTGCAATCACTTAAGTCGATTCGACAACTAATGATCGTTATTTTCCCTCAAAACACATTCTCAAGCCCTTTCGTTTTGAGGGAAGTTCTAAATTAGTATTGTCTTTCAAACGCCGCTGGAATTTAACATATTAGTTTTTTTTTTAGCCTGCATATGGCACAAAGCACGCATTGATATCTTTTTTCAGAAGCACCAACGTACCTTGATTATGATTAAAACCAAACTAGACATCATAGACTTAACAGCTAGACTTTCTACACAAGGATTTTACATCATAAACAAGGACAAGAGGCGTTTTAAAGTGGTTGCGCTTTACATACTTTCACATACTTTCGCCTTATCCTTGGGCAAAAAATGCATGACTAAATATTAACAGTAGGCCCGTTCTAAATATTTATAAACACCCCAATGGTTGCAGTTTACGACCTAACATTCATGAAGAGTTCGGTTCCGTCGTGTTCTTATCAGACTGAATTTTCAGCTATTCTGATTCACGTTTGTCAAGTATTTGAAATCATTATTCAAAGCACTTCTATTAATGATTTCATGAATTAATCTGGAACAAAAGTTTATATCATTCAGTGTTATCGAAGTATTCGAAGATCTTACCATATTGAACAGATTTTGCGTATAAAAAAACGATTTACTTACAAAGAAGAATGATTTTGGGACTTATCAATTACATAACCAATTCAAATTAAATGTGATCGAAAATGTGTGAGTTTGTCTCAAAATTCCCTTAACTATATAAACATGAATATATAGGTAATTAATAAGTATTGGTATTAATATACATATATATATATATATATAATTAATTGTCTTTTGCATATACAGTTGAGAGAGAAAGAGAAAGAAAGAGAGAAGAGAAAAGAATAGAAGAGAAATGAGGGGAGAGGAGATATTGAAAACATATGATTTAACGGAATTATTTCAAATGTTTTAATCAGCTAAAAAAATAATTATAAACGACTTAACATGAAATCGAGAGTGAATAAAAGCTAAACTTCATATCAAAACAACACAACATCGTTGTACATGAAAAAAGGGTTACGTGACACTATATACATATACCTTGCTTATTTTTGGAAAAAATGAGTTATAATACTATGTATTAAATTCAGCGCTCAAAATACACGGGGGCGGTGGGCGATTCGCCCCCGTGAGCTACATAATCGCCCCCGTCAGGTTGCTCACGGGGGCGATTGCAAGATTAAAAATCGCCCCGGTGGAATTATAAAATAAAGATAATCTTTTCTGTTATAACTTTAACACAATATTGAGTTTCAATTTTCAAACCTTAAACCAATGAAATGGAACTAAGATTAGCGTGCAAGATTTCTCGTTTTATGAGTAGGCCTATTATTACCGATTCAGCTCGCAGTGCAGTGCCGCCGTCAGCAGTGGTTATAGGCCTACTGCGCAGTTAGTAGCGGTGCGTGTGCACGCTGCCGCGCCATGTCTGCTGGAGCTGGAGGCGATCGCGCAAGGGCAGAAACATGGTCATGGCCTGGAGAAGTTTTTCGTTGTCAGCAAATAATGAACCTCGACCAGTAAATCAATATTAGGGACGTTTAGATTTGCACGATGAGAACGTGGACTGCAACGTGTGACCTCCTTTTAAGGCACTGCCAGTGCTTAAAAGGACGTCACATGTGACTGCCAGTGCCTTAAAAGGACGTAACACGTCCACATCCACGCAAATCTAAAAGTCCCTTTTGAGGAGAAGAGGAAGACCAAAATGTCGTGGAATGATATGGTAACATGGGCAGATCTACGGGGGGGGGGGGGGGGGCGGGTTAGGGGGTTTAACCCCCTCCACCCACCCCGGCCCCCTTGGGCTGCCAAGTGAAAATGTGATATTAAAGCGGGGGGGGGAGGGGGATGCTGGAGAGGAGGACTACTAATCTATTTTATTTTTTTCAGGGGGCGGGGGTAAGTGAAGCGCCGTTTTAGCATGACTTTCTTTTTAACTCTTACTTTCACCTATCTCAGATAACCCTAAGTTTTTGGTTGCTGCTTCATATGTAGTTGATAATGCATGATTAAAATAGAGAGAGAGAGAGAGAGAGAGAGAGAGAGAGAACCACCATCATTTTGCAATGGTTCAGGGTGTAATGTACATTTGAAACCATTTCTTAGCGTCTCAACCCTAAAAAAATAGCAAAACTATTTTTGAGGAAAAGCATTATACTGAATTAAATAAAGAATAATAGCTTTATATTGGATCATACTAATACTGATACGGGCTAAAGACAATGTGGTATTTGTATAGAGGCATTCCAAAATGACATTCTGATAATCAACATTTGTTCTGGTATCATATGTATATACGCATAATACAACTGATCTTTATGATTTCTTAACGTGACATAGCTTCTTCTCCCTCTGCAAACAAAACAGAAAACAAGGTTATTTAATAAAAGGACCATGCGACAAATAATCATTGTGATTCAAATTGATACAAGGATTTTTTTGAATATGCAATGCTTTTCACCAGAATCTTCTTTGTAAAAACGACTTTTACAAATCTCAGCCATGCAATTCTGCCACTGTGCTGTAAGATCACTTTGAGATTAGGAGAAGTGTATTATGTAATGGGTATTTTAAATTGAATGGAACGTCTCAACTCAGTAAGCATGGCTGAGATTTGTAAAAGTTGTTTTTACAAAAATGATTCGGGTGAATAATAGTGCTTATTCAAACAAATATTCGCATCAATTTGAATCACAATCATTATTTGTCGCTTAATCCCTTTTAATGACCATGTTTTCTTTTTCGTTTGCAAGGGGAAAAGAAGATATGTCACGTTAAAGACATCATAAAGATCACTGTTGTATGCGTATATATTATATACACAGGCCAGTAACAGCTATGTAGCTTGTAAATTTGTAAGAGGGAAAATGCTGATTGAAATGATAATGATGAAATAGCAAATAATTGAGGAGTATCATAGGTACCAATTCAATGGATATTTGTATTTAGAGCCCCCGTCAGTAATAAAAGAGCCCCCGTGAGAAGGCTCACGGGGGCTCTTTTTTCGGGGAAGAGCCCCCGTGGACAAAAAATTAATTTGAGCCCTGATTAAATTACATTCTCCGACAAGATTCTAGACTCTAGAACAAAGTTTTCCTGTGACTAACCAGGAGAGGTACAGTGTGCAATTATACAGATTGTGCCTATTATATTATTGTGTTATTGCTTGTATACGTGAGCAGCGCATTGAGAACATTATGACGGTGGCGGTCATGCCGAGCCGTGCCACACAGGCAGCCTGTCTGATCATCATCGGATGCGCTTTCGAATACAAATGGATTGAAAGTAAAACGCATTTCAAAAACTTACCAAATGATTTTGAAAGTCTTGATGGATATAATTTACGGAATAAATTGTAGATATCGTGATTTTTGCTACTCGAAATATAACGCAGCATTCACGTGAAAAGATGGCAACCCGAGGTGGTGACGATGATGATGAAATAACCACACCCTTGGTTATGAGATGCGCCCCGGTCTTGATATCAAGAGGTATCCACATCAGTTTTTAGTTATGGATTAATTAATAGTCTCATGGGCAGAATAAGAATCGATCTTAATGTCAGAAAAGGTAATTTAAGATGAAATGAACTTCAAGATGCCGAACATAAAATGGCACCGAATCAATGCCGAAATATATTGATATGCGCAATACCCGCATCGCGCATCCATGGAGATGCTCATCAAAGGTCAAATGAATTAGAAAATACTCTTCATCAATTGTTCCATTTGTTTATAAGCATTCGTACCTGAAAATAAACAAACCATCGCAAACTTTTCACTAAACGAAATCAAAATTGACGAAATATGTAAGATGCCGATTATTTTTCACCATCCATTTCCCGCCAAGTTCAGGCCATTGTGTTGCTCCTCTTACTATTGTGAGGTCACCCACCGTGCAGCAATGGTATGCGCCCAAAAAGTACATATATTCCAGCAGTGATATACATATCATTATACAGTAGCAAAATACGTCATGTGTGTATGTATATTACCCACCTATGTCGAAGCTATGCCGCTTGCCTGTAATCCGATTATATGCCAACTTTCTGACACTTTTTCCAAGCTTTCCAATCGTCGAAGAACCGGACGGGCATGGTCCAGGGTATATATATCCTATGGTATAGGCTTCCAGAAGTGAGGAAGAGCAGACAATGTCGGAAAGTAGTCCAAAAAGTGGAATTTCCAAACGGAAATCGTAGAGGAAAGGAGGGCGGAGACCTGATCTGTTACGTACCTTAATACGACTAAGCCAAACTATGCGGCTACGCTGTGGCACCTATGCTGCCGAGTCAGTGGCGCATGCGCGTTATGATCATTTACTGTACACTGGTGTAAATAGATGGTAATTGCTATGGAAATGTATCTATGTCATATATTGGGGGATGTTATCATTGATAGAGAAACTAATATGTTGACACATTTGTTATGAAATAGTCGTTTTTTGTCGCGATCGCACAACTCCTTTTAAGATTGAAAATGCAAAATGTCCTTAAAAATCTTTAACATCATTATCCTAATTTGTGTGTGTGATGGGCCAGCAGAGTCAGAAACCATTACCATTTTATAAAATTAATGATTGACTGTAATTTAAGCAAGATGAACTCTTGCTATAAGTATTTTCTCAGTGATATAGGTTTCATGGATGTGATACATGGAAATTCCAGGAAATATAGACTTTCTGGTCATTTTTTTTGCATTCGAAAAGCTATTTCAAAAGCATGGTGAAATCTGTATTTCAACATTAAATGATTCAGTTTTAATAAATCATTAACATTCATGATCCATACCATGTGCTTACAGTACTGAAACGTATGTAATATAAACCTATATGTAAAACCATGGTCCCCAATGGCAAATCAAAAGTCAAACTCTGCATATGATCATTCAGTGGCACTTAATGTTACCAAATATCTTAAACAAAAATAGGATCTCTTCACTCACATTTTCCATTCCAATAACAATTATGCCAAATCACTTTCTATCATTTTACCTTCTACTTTTCTGTACAAGCTTTTGTTACTGGATACAAATTAATTAGCTGTTTCAGTTTAGATGTGTACTTTCCCTTGATAAATACATTTTTTTCACGACAACGAAAATATTACCTTAGTCTCTTTGATATATTCATCGCATAAACTGCCTTCTTGCTTTTATTTTTCGTTGAACCTTGAACAAGCACATCAATAGCTATGGTGCTACAAAATATACTAGAAAATTTGATATATTTTGTTCTACCAGTATATTTGTGATTATGCATGAGCAATCTGAATTATATGATGCAAACGTTTTCCGTATGTGAATTCTGCACTTTTGTTCACCCCCTCCCCCAAACAAAAATATGAGGATGACATTAACTATCATGTATACTTGCCTCGTAAAGCAAATGCAATTATATCTGACTGATATTTATTATTCTACCAGATGTTTGTTAGATGATAATCAGTCTATTTGTTTCTCACTAGATGTTTGTACATACCTGCGTAAACCATAAATCTCTCAGATTACGCGACTGAATGCTTTATGCATTAATCGATTTGTCTATAGAGCAGGCAACCATCTGTTTAAATCACCAACACGTTTCTCTCCTCGCGCCTGGTCTGGCGGGGGAAACTATAGCTATCATCCCTATCAGTATGTTGCGTGTTATGACTGTGCTTCGCAGGAGCATATTTCGTATAGGATTAAAAGCACCGTTTAGCTTAATATACAGTTAACGCTTTATTATTCATACTCCTTGTTAATTTGATACTTTTTTATATGTGTTTTTCGTAACTCAAGAAAGAAAGGTGTATTGATTGAATTAAGGCCTTTGTTGAATACTTTTAGATGTAAGCTTTAATATATCATATTCTCAAGAATTATACATCGGGTCAAACACATTTTTACATACTTAAAAAATTACAAAACTTGGTAAAGGCATGAACAATTTAGTTGTTAACTGAAGGCCGATCTTTATTTTCAACAAAACAAAAACCATCCGTCATTTAGGTACCCATTGAAAATAAGCTAAAAGTCTTACCGTTGTCTCATGTTGATGAATCAAATCAAATCAAATCAAACGTATTAAATCAAATAAAATAAAATCAGATGAACCTCTCAGTCATAACTCATGTTATAGAGATTTTAACAATACGTGTAATTATCGCTATGATTCTTATCCTGATCAATATGACCGTAACTTTCATTGATTCAATCATTATTTTACATCAATTCAAGTGAATTGGCTGCATTATTATCTCATCGTGATAGAGATAGAGAGAGAGAGAGAGAGAGAGAGAGGGACAGGTAGGGAAGAACGAGAAAGTAGGGGAGTGTTAGAGGGGGAGATATATATATATATATATATATATATATATATATATATATATATATATATATATATATATATATATATATATGGTGAATGACAGAGAGAGAAGGGGAATGTGAGAGGTGGAGGGAAAAGGAAAATTACTAGTTAGATATATATGGTGAAAGATAGAGAGGGAGAGAGAGAGAGGGAGAGAGAGAGAGAGAGAGAGAGAGAGAGGGGGAGAAAAAAAGAGAGAGGGAGAGAATAAGAGAGAGAGAGAGAGAGAGAGAATGAGAGAGAGAGAGAGAGAGAGAGAGAAAGAGAGAGAGAGAGAGAGAGAGAGAGAGGGGGAGAAAAAAGAGAGAGGGAGAGAATGAAAGAGAGAGAGAGAGAGAGAGAGAGAGAGAGAGGGAGAGAGAGAGCGAGCGAGAGAGATAAAGAGGGTTCTTGTTCGGCTTCATTTTTAAAAATTATCATTATAATTGTGTGGGTTTGATCACTACGATGAAGCCATTATTTTGAAGCCTCTGTCTTATTTCTATACCACGAGTGAAACTCTTATATTATTTTCACAAACATACAGAAACTACGATCATGACCTCGTGTAACAAAACAAAACGTTGGTAGATTTGCAAACAAAAGATATGTTTTACACGGAGATGAGAATTCTTTATAGGCGTATTGAAAATGTAAGTGTTTGTAAAGAGAATTCGAAACAAGGGATAATACAATGATTTACACTGACAATATGATAGTATAATGATATCAACTAGTACAGTGTATATGATAATATTTTGGAGTCTCATTAGCATTTTCGAAGTGTTGGGACGTACAGCACCATACATTTACCATATACTGCAGGGGACCGCTTTATGAATGTTGATTTCTGAACAATGGGTTTAGTTTATCCGTATTCATTCCAAACGATGGAACCGCGCCAAGCCAAAGTTATACATCTTATTGATATTCGAGGTAGACGCAGTTTTGCTGCAGCAGATGCATAGATGCATAGATAAAGTTAAATTATTCCAACTAGATTCATTTGCTCGTTCTCTCTCCTTCCCTCGATTGTTCCTACTCTCTGAAAGTCAATCCATTAGAACTTAAAGTCCATCTCCTTACATATCGATCACAATCTAGGATAGCACGGTGAGTCACCACACTGCTTCAAGTCATTCATTAAGATTGGTATCGGGTTGTTTGGAGTGCCTTGCTGTAAAACAGCACCTGCCTAAGATCACGAAGGCATCCCGGTCATCAAATCACTGCATCTCGATGCAGTTCTGTAACATCTGACAATCTTTCATCAAATCCATCTCTTAAGATTACATTTCGTCATGAAGCAACCATCTTCACGTTCCGTTACGACCACCATTTCAAAGTGAAGTAATATTGAAGGCTGTTTTTTCATGCGGAAGTAGGCTATTTGCCATTAGCCCAATATCAAGATTACGTGAACTACACTCCTTTGGTATATGCTGGCAAAGGAAAGAACTATAGGGCGTGCGGTTTGATATAAACATGATCAAGTTCTAAAGCCTTTACAAACATACATATTCATACTTTTATTCTTAGCTCTATATGAGTTTTTAGATTGGTAATGCAATAGTGATCTATTTAGCTTCCCTTTTCTATGGAGAGAGTGGTAAGGATGAGAAACGGTTTCGAAGATACACTTAAGTCCATATTGCCTCTACTTAAAGTGGAAACTGCCCTAGGTCAATATTTCTAAAGTAGTTGCTCTCTTGTTTTGTGTGTGTTATGTAATATAGAGGCTGAACAAGATGGTACTTCGAGTAGCCCCTTCCAAAGACTGAACAATAATTGGAGCACTTGTCCCAGATATTAAGGGAAAAGTCAGGACATAATTAAAGTAAAGAAAGATATGAGAAAGAACAAAGACGGAGAAATGGTTGATAGGAGAGATAGGAGAGATGAGAGAGAGAGAGAGAGAGAGAGAGAGAGAGAGAGAGAGAGAAAGAGAGAGAGAGAGAGAGAAAGAGATTCATGGAAGAGGGGGAGGAAGTATATACCCCCAACAACTTCCTAGCTGTGTGTTCTATTGAGCGTGAGGTTCAATTAACACCCTTGTCCCCCCTCCTCTCCTGTGGTCGACGCCCCCTGCTTACATATTTTGTAATAATTATGGTTTACAAGCTGGTAACATATAAACACAATGTTTCATCTATTGCTGCTACGTAGACCTATATGAAACGTGTGTGCAGATATTATATTTGCTTGTCATCCGATTTGATTCACCTACAGCGCCATATTTTAGAAGCGCATGTAGCTAGCCCCCGGGAGTTTTTATTGCTCTACATCTGTAGTTCATAATAATCAAGGAATCTAAAGAATGGGTTAGGAAATAGTTTTTCCTAATTTTATTTACACTAACATTTACATAGGGGAGGATGTCTTCAACAGAATGAATCATCATCACCATCATTATCATTATTATCATCGTGATTAACATCATCATTTTTGTTTTGGGGTGGGGTTTGATGGGGGTGCTTGGTGATCTTGTATTCATTTTCTACATGAGCCTCACTTAATTGAATTTATACTCAAGATACTACTGATCTTGAGTCTACACAAATTAAGTTTGTGGTCAGGTTTCAAACGTGATTGAAAGGATGCAAGAATGGTGTGTTTAATAGAAGTGGGTGCACACATCTCATTATTGTTAAGGTAAGGGAAAAAGTATGCACAAATCCCACACAAATACATACATCATTATGCATACCTCATTCAGTAATGAGTTTGGTATTTTAATCTGGAAGTTGTTTAAATATGTTTATTCTCTCCAGGATAATCCTAAAGAATTTAACCTATTTCCTGAGAAACCAACGATTATCTTGAATAAACATGGCTAAACTACATGCATATCTTCTTTGCCGTTGTCATTAGAGCCTGGTTGTAAGACCCGTCACAACATTTAACTGCATACCATGAACATGACCTAAATATTATGTCTCGCCAATATTTATATTTGCCCACTAATAGTCATTATCCGTTCTCAAATAGTCTTAGTTTTGTAAATATACATGAATACATTCATGACAGCTAATGAGCTGTTTCAATTAGGTTTGTAATATAACATATCAATGATTAAAAATCCGGAAATTGAAGGGGTACAAATTCAGCAAATTAGCTTGTGCCATGAGCCGTGTCATTACGTTTTATATTATAATTATGATTGATGTGACCATTTCGTCATTATGTTATTAAGTATGTTTACTCTTATTCTACTTTACACCTTCTAACAACGCATTAATCCGTATTTTACGATGAATAAGTTTGCTATTTTGTGAATGAGTGAACGACAGACGAGGGTATTATTTTACATTAAAAGAATTCGTTGATGATCACGGATGATTCTGAATGTTGATTAATCCTAACAAAAAGTCATTTGCATCTAGAACAATAGAGATATTACAATAATTTTGTCTTTACTCCTGTAATTACTCCCTTTGAACATATTATTGCAGATACAAAAGCAAAATATTGCTCTCTGTCGAGTGATAAGTTGCAGCTGTCCGATATAATATATACATGTATAATATAAATCAAAAGGCCGGAAATGAAAACACACAAAAAAATTAAAATACATGTATCAGAGAGAATCCTGTCATACTTCATTCGTGTCGTCGGTCTATTAGAAGGAAAAAATTGTCCAATTAGACTGCATGCACCTATACGACTTCTTCCCCTCTTGTATATTTACCAATCTTCACCTCAAGCCTCATTAACTAGCTGCCTCCATCGCACAAACTCATCAATAACTCGAGCTGTATGTCGTATATAAGGTGATAAATCTTGTAATTGGTCGTGTTAGCTTGCTGTTGCGAGCTCATTAGTTAGTAATTGGAATACACGTCTGTATCTACATGATCTAGGGTTAAGGCGATGTATCCAGAGGTTATTTTTGAAAGAGGAAACGTACACGTGTTTAAAGGAGAAGAAGCATTAAGTAAACAAATTATTACCTCTTTTCTATTTCGTTCTTTGAACCTAATTACATTAATAACGGACTATTTCAAAGAAATATCGTTATACAGTTATTTAATAAAGAGATTTCAAAATATATACAAATATGAAGATAGCGAGAGAGAGAGAGAGAGAGAGAGAGAGAGAGAGAGAGAGAGGGGAGGGAGAGAAACAGAGAGACAGAGAGACAGAGAGAGAGAGACAGAGAGAGAGAGAGAGAGAGAGAGAGAGACAGAGAGACAGAGACAGAGACAGAGAGAGAGAGAGAGGGGGGGGGGGGGGAAAGGGAAAAAAGGAGATATGTTTGCCTATTGTTTTAATATCATGACTCATAACAACCGGAAAACATGGATGGACTTATACTTTTGGTTCGAGTCATGAACATCTTGATATTTTCGATCCTAATATTATTGGTATCTCACCTTTTCCAGGGCTTGCCAAGGTTTCCATCTACACTTCGGCTTCTAATCATATTTTCATTATAACTGTATTTCATTTATATATCAATCATAATTTATATATCTGATTTGTGACGTACGTATCGATAGAAGCAAATTTTCTGTTTTTAAGTTCAGTTCAGTTCAGTTCAGTTCACTTAATTCAATACTATAATTAACAATATACAAAGGTAAACAAACGTTAAAAAGTTACAAAATAATATAACATCCCTTATTACACGTTCACATATATCACATCAACTGAATAAACACACCGACAGCTCAACACACAAGAAAGGTAAAACACTTTGGAATTGCATAATCATTTCTAAGTTTATTCCGAAAGTATTACTCGTACTAATTTTGCTATGATCACGATGCTTGACTATGATTGAGTGATATTAAGTTTGTATGCCATGTATATGTGTTCATACAATGTATTTGTTTTTGTATGTGTTTGCACTTCAGAACCTGAAGAAGGCATCACAAGCCGAAAGCTCGTAATAAGCTTGTAAAGTACAGCTACGTCTCACGTTCCTAGACCATTTTCTTCACGCCTATAATTATATATATAGCATATTTTACTGTAAATTAACGAGTGCTTTGTTCACACACCATTCCAGCAATTCATGACACTCCTTGTGGTTACTCCCCTCATCTACTATCCCAGTATAGCTTCCTGAGTGAGCTGCCAAAGGGATTACCCAACCAAGTAAAATGAGAATAACATAAGCAGAGAAGACAAGAAGAACAGGAAGAAAACAAAATCTAAACATGTACATCATTTCGAGACGAGACAGGAAGGCCGGGCCTTATGTCAAAGTCCACAGTGATACAGGAAGAGGAAAAATAGAAAATAATTTACTGTAATATGCACATACAAATAAACACACACCAATCTGTCCTATAAATATTAAAGTTATGGGTTTATTGAACTATTGCATATAGTTGTAATAAACACTATTCAAATGTTCTATACAAATTATTCAGTGATGGGCTCAGTCTAATCTGTATTGATATACCATTCCAAGGTATTGGACGCCTGGGGAAAGTTGTATTTTGGGAAACTGAATCAGCAAAGTAAAATATATCGAGGAAGGTACAATAAAACGTCTTTTCAGAGCTTCATGGACGTTAATCCACACACAGACGGGGAGTTGGAAAACGTTCAAGACGCCAGAGCGAGGAAGGGTAGTGTACATTCCCCTTTAAATAACTCATCACAACATCATGCTCAGCTTGATGTCGCCTTTCTTACGTTTGGATAGTATATTGTACCCCTTGCTGTCATCTAATTCAATAACGAATACATATGTTTGAAGGCTGGTAGCTAGTACATTGGTATCTGGTGGTCTAGCCGCTAGCTGGTAGATGGTAGATCGACTGGTATAGCTACTGGTATGATGATGATGGTGGTGGTAACGCTCTGTGTACTGACCTCCAGATATGTGAGAGTCTAATTACTTCAAGCGCTACTCTGCTTGGCTCTCCAATGAGCTACAGGATTCCTAGCATTCTCCGTCGGTTAGAGAGCTGGAGGCGAGAGTTCATATTATACTCCAATTTCTGCTTGAAGCAAAGTTTGTTCATAAGCGCTCCATCCTTCCCCTATTATTCATGTTCTTTTATAAAGGACTGAGCCCAGGTTAATTCATTGAAGATGATTTTTTGTAATTATCTTTTCATTCACGCTATTCTTGGTCTATAACAATACTTCTAAAAACTAAATACTTTTAACCCTTTATGGGCATACTATCTTGAATGAAACTGAAAAGATGTCTTTTTATTTTGCTTTCAAGCATGCGATTCACTTCTTTAGAATCTTCTTTGAAAACTAGCCAATGTTTGTTTCAGTGGTGGGGGGGGGGGGGGGGAGATAGGGCCTAATTAGTTGGGGGTTACTTACAATCAAATGAGATTTAAAAAAAAAAACTCAAGCATTTTGTTAAAGTTGAACTTAAAGTTGAAACAAAACTGATTAAATGGTACCAGCGATATTTGTTGTGAAATAAAGGTGTGACCAAACAAAACTGATTACATGGTACCAGCGATATTTGTTGTGAAATAAAGGTGTGACCAAACAAAACTGATTAAATGGTACCAGCGATATTTGTTGTGAAATAAAGGTGTGACCAAACAAAACTGATTAAATGGTACCAGCGATATTTGTTGTGAAATAAAGGTGTGACCAAACAAATCTGATTACATGGTACCAGCGATATTTGTTGTGAAATAAAGGTGCGACCATTAAACAGATCACGTAACATTCAGAATAAGCCGATTGATCATCTTCACTGCCTGGTTTGTTATTTCCAACCGGTAGATGGCGGTATCCATCAAACAATGGATTTTCCTTTCCATCTATCTAAACCGCAGATAATTTCCAGCTTTCAGCTTCAGGGAGATCAAGAGGAAAAGAAGGATTTAAATGGAGAAGTGAATATGAATGAATAAATGAATCAAATGAGTGCTTTATTAATATTCATTTTGAGTTTAAAGATTCAATTCAGGAAAGAATCAGACTTTGATCAAGAACATAACTTCTGGCAATTGTTCTAATGACAAGCACTGTTTATATGATTATTTTTTTCAAATGATAAAGTACTTCCTGAAGTATTTTGAAAACTAACAATATTTAACGCTTTAAAAAGAGACTATTCAACCTTCATAATGATTTATTTTTCCTAGACCATTTTCAAATACATCTCCAAGGTGACAAAAAAATGAGGCACAGAAAGAACATAACTTCTGGTAATTATTCAAATGACACATACTGTTGTGATATATTTTTTTTCAAATGAGAAAGATACTTTCTGCAGTATTTTGAAAACTAACAATCTCATATGCAAATAAACCCATGCTGCTTTAAAAAAAAAAAAATTCAAGCTTCATAACTGTTTTTTTCCTGGATCTTTTCCAAATACATTTCCAAGGTCCTTCTTGCGCAAATAATTGTATAATGTTTGATAAAATTAAGTATTTATGACAGTTTATCATTTTGTTTTTATATTTGCATTTTTACGATTCCCTGTCAGAAAAATGTTTGTCGTATTTTATATTACTATTACTTATATGAATACAGAAGAAAATCTAATCAAATGAAATCAAGATGAAAAATAATGAGGCAGACAAAACAAAGATAATCAATTATGTATAAAATTTAATACTTTCACATTGGCAGGCTAATTCACATTGCATATTGACATACATCCACAAACTGATATCAAAGCACTTCACTTGTGAATTACTTTTCACACTTTTATATCTTTTATATAACATGGAGATACTGCAATATTTATGTAGACAAAATTGATAAGAATTCATTCTGCAGATTCGGTTAAACCTATTTGTTTCAGAAACATATATAAATGTTGGTGTGGTCCAATATTCTCATCTAATTAGTTAAAATCATACCAAAATCAAAAAAATATTAAATCGATTCTCACCTTCTAAATTCAGCTACTGAGGTTCATAACTAGACAGTACAGGCTGTATTTCATGCTCTTATGGTATTTTCAAGCAATATCTACTGAATCTCTTATCTTGAATATACATTCATGTATATGATACAAAGGAAACATCATCTCTAAATGGACAAATTTCTATTAAGCTATCCCTGTATCCATGTAAGGGCTTGCTTCTGAATTCAAACCTGTCTTTACATTACAACAACATTGCAGACCCTATGTTACAGCAAAATTGATTAAAAAAACAACAACTGCATATCTACATATATCTAGAATATAACAGGTATAAAAATATAGGTGTTTTCAACACTTCCTAGCCATTATTTAAATGAAGTATAAATTCAAAAATAAAACTGATATCTGCAATGTCTTATCATATTCAAGAGCGACAGGTTAATTTTAACACACTGTTTACGATTCTGCTGTTCACTTTAAAGTTACATTCCCCCTGCAATACCAACCAAGCAAATTTTCAATTAATTTGTAAATGTGTCTCAAAGGTTTTTGCAATGCCAACTTTAATATACTCTTTTGAGTTGTATTTGTAATGTTCATCTAATCTGGAAATGCAAAATCTATATAGGAATCTACTTTCCTTTAAAAGAGAGGAAAAAAAGACCCTTTAAGTGATCGACTATATTCTGTATATCTCCCATTATCATCACTGACTTTCGAAATACATCTAAAAATTGTTATCACAACTATGATAGCAAAGGTCAACTTGCATTCATGTGAGAAATGAAGCATATAAATTTAAGGGGGCAAAATTACGCTTTTGCTCACAAACACTACCTGGTCAAAGGCTGGAAGCATAGGTCATCACACCCTATCACTTAGAACCAAAGTAATAACAAATATGGTATAGAGCAGCTCAGTCTACAATGAGAGAATTGTCATAGTTGGCAGCATAGGAACTTGTTGTTTGTCATATTGTGCACCTTTTTCATTGCTTCAAGCCTTCAACATAATTCTCCGTTCACCTTGTTTCGTTATTATTCACTCTGTAGATTCATAAAAAACCTACCATCAAGATAAGATAATACACTGGTCAGCTTTAAATAATGGCCCTGTGTAAAATAGGCAGGATACATTGGATGATCAGTGGAATAACAAGGAGTTATAATAACAAAATAAACCACTCAAAAAAAGTTTGGAAACTCAAGTTTGATGGATCATTTCTCTCTTGTCATGGCATAATTATTGCTTTGATTAGTTTCATTAGAAAATGTTTTTTCTCATTAGATTGATGCCATAGTAGTTATGATTTTCCATTCTTGGAATGAGCAGTGCATCAAAATAATTGGAAGGGTCGAAAGAGGAAAGTTGCAAAATGCACTGGTAAGCACTGGTGTTATTATGTAATTGACTGTGGGGCTATTGTTCCCAACTGGTCATCCCATGAATGCCAAATTCTAAAGAATCTAAAAATGAAATTCATAGACTGTGGTGATATGTCAGGCAAGATTCCCTATTATATTCACACATATAGTGTGACAAAGGTCTCCCTCTAGCAAATTACAAAAGAAAATGTGATATACATGGTTTATTTATGATAATTAGTATACAAATAATACACAGCAGTGAGGGCATTAGGCAAAATAAATGCCTGGTCACGCCCTTAACCAATCATTTGATTAGGATCCACGTCATCATCTTATAACGCACAATATTTTACTTAACAATCAAGCTCAATCCATGCTTTTTCGTCTCTTTATGTAATTTATTATTATTAAGAGTGGATATCAATAATGTATCTTTCTTGAGAATGGAATGTCGGGACACTGTACATGTTTCATACACACTGCATCCTTAAAATAAAACAAAAATCATGACAAAGTGAGACACATTATTGCTTCAGTTTGCAAAGAGTTGGGATGGCTTGGCTTCATAATTCAGAATTACAAATATCCTGTAGCTGTACAATAATTGGTCTCAAGAGATTCTAAGAAGCACCTCTTTACTTAGATATCTTGTCCTCCAGAACTTTGTACCGCTCTAGGAGTGAGTTGTAGACCTGCAAAGAGAGAAGTAAGGAAAGAAAGAAAGGTATGAATAAGGGGGATTGCCATTAAAAAAAAAAATTATTTAAAAAAAGAAGAAGACAAAAAGGTCATCGATATATAAGCTTACATTCTTTGTAAAATGATCATTCAACTCAATTACTTTCACAAGTTAAAAATGTCAAACCTCGATTATAAGAACATTCTAAGGATAGTGGATTGCATATTTTGTACTAGTGATTTCTAGATTGATCTTAATCATAATAATAATAATAATACTCAGTTTTTATATAGCGCTTATTACAATTACTAAGCGCTTCCAAACTTGGAGATTATTACCCCGGCTTTAGCTGTGCTGCCATTACGGCGCTCAAGAATTTCAAAGAATCAATTACTGCCAGGTACCCAGTTACATCACCTGGGTTGATTGTGGCAAATGTACATCAATGTATTGCCAAGGATATTAGTGCCGCAGCAGGTCTCGAACCGCAGACCTTGTGATCGACAGTCCGGCGACTTAACCACTCAACCACGGCAACTCTACTAATCCTTGAAGAAACTTAAATCTACATATCTGCTTGACACATCTAGCATACTCAGTCACTCAAAGATAAAGATATTGATAATAACTAATCTGTAATAAATCAATTCTTTGTAACAAGGTGAATGCATTGATGAAGTGAGACCTACCTGAGCTGCATGAGTATTAGGAGTGGCTGCTTGTTTGTAGTTTGATGCTGTCTTCACAACCTCATGGAAAGAAACTTTGTCACCACCTAGCCAGCCTGAAAAGTTAGAATGAAATCAGACAGGTTTATCTCACTCAACTGTCAATTGACTTATTTCCACCGAACAGTTTTTGTGGTGTACTTTTACATTTAAACTGCATTTACTATGTAACAAATATTGATAGACCCCCTGCTTATTGGGTGTGGATCACAGGGTCCGCGGTAAGAGTCCCAGCACGGCACTAATGTCCTCTGGCAAGACATTAATCTACATTTGCAACTCTCCACCTAGGTGTTAAATGGGTACCCGTAGGAAGAAATTCCTTGAAAGCTGTGAGCACCAAAATCGGTAGCCTAGCAGAGCCTTGGTAATGTTGGAGCGCTTTGAGCACCTTGAAGGGTGGAAATGTGCGCTATATAAATATCCAATATTATAATTATTATTATCATCGTCATCATCTAGTGCCAGGTCTGTTACAGAAATGGAGGGTCATTGCCCTCCATTTCTGTCTCTTATCTGCTATCATTAAAAAGCCGGTATTGCTGATTTCATTTTTGGTTGCCCATTTGTTCAGGCTTTGTAGATACATGCATGTGAGGTGTTGCCTTTCTCTGCGTCTCTGTCCAACAATCTTCCCCGTTAATACGTTTGTTCTTTCTCCCCCCCCCCTTTTCAAGATAATCCTTTTATTTACATGTAACCAACAAATCGCATTTTCCTCTTTTTTAATGTGTTGATGAGTGATGGTTTTACTCTTGCTTTTCTGAACATGTCTTCATTTGTTATCTTTTCTGTCCATAGAGTAAATACAATTAATAGCACTAAATCTATGAATACCTAAACATATGGGTCAATCCATGGAAGTATTCCAACATTACTGCCATAATTCTTTAAGAACAGAGTTATGCTCACCATGTTTAGCTCTGTAGGCACATCCTAGACAGGCCGAGTTGGCTACATCCAGGACATAGACAGGAGCATTGAAGACATCTGATATCACTTGTAAGATGGCTTGATTTGCTGAAGCTCCACCAGTCACCAAAACTCTGGTATCACCACCTAAAATTAAAAAAAAAACATTTAAATATATTTATCATTGTTCTGTCAACAATATTAAAGAAGATAGGAGAGAATGAAGTCTGGTTGATAGTGCATCTTGCTATTGATTGACAGCAGATTGTGGGTTAAACTTGTGGTATTTGAACAGTTGTTTGTAGTGGCCTAGCGTCAGCTACTATGGAATGAGAAAGCAGTTGAGAATAAAGATGGCTAACACCACAACAACATAGACTGGACTTGTCATTGCTATGTCCCATATTTAAGTTACTTCCAAGTTATAAACACTTGGTTACTACAAAACTCCACCTCTGACACATCACTGAAGTCTCTGTTATTATCATTATGATTAATATTAATATATTTTTTTTTACTGAGAATTGAGATGTGAATACCTGAAACTTATGCTATGGTCAAGAACATTCCTCATGCTGAACACCATACTCACCTATATCATAACCAAGCTGTTCTGCATGTAACCGTTTGCCCATCATTTGACCTTCAACAAGTCCTCTGACCTCCGTCACTGGGTCAAAGGTCGCGACAGGTTGGTCATCTGAGTTGAACCGATGAAGACCAACGGCTGAGGGAGTTATCTCTTGCACATGAAAGTAGATACCTACACGGAATAATAACACAATCAAATCAGTATCTATCTATTCATTTATTCAAACAAGCAGTTCAACAATTATCTGTCAGATGCAACTGTTGTATTTTAGAATACCACTACTAAACGATCATGTCAGTCACAACAAATAATGGAAGTTACACAAACTTCTCTAAAATCTAAAAAGTAAGAAAATACAACAACCTTTTAACAGCTATCATCAATCATGAAAAATATGAAAGGATTAAATTAAGTTAGTTTAGTTCAGTTCACTTCCATTATAAATACATCTTATTTATCATAAACCAAACAAATCAAGATTGCATCAAACATTTCTAAAGGCAAGAACTCAAAATGAAGGAAATGTTCTTGTATTTTATATTTTGCTAATTATCTTGTACACTTACCAATATTGCCTCCATTCCCCATGGGGGTACTCAGGAGTTGCTGATTGAAAACATCCCATGAACCATTGCTACTTGCATCTCGAATCTTCTCTCTCGTGAGGGACCCATTCTTGAAGCTGAACAATTGGAGTTTGAAGAAAAAAGAATACAAGAGAGTGAGCAATGAGCATTCATGTTTTCCAGCTCAGTATTCCTACCTATTTGTATAATCATAAAGATTTAAATGCCTAATGTTTCAAAACATTGGTGGTAATCTGATATGTGTATGTGTAGTGGTGGTTATTTTACCTGACAGCTATGAAAACATAAATGCTTGTTAGTAAGCAACCAGAGAACCGACGGCTGTAGGTCCTCTCCGAGAGACCGGGTAATGAGGATTAATGCCTTACCAAAGGGCACTAGTGCATCGCCTTGGTTTTCAAACCCGGGTCACCGGATCACAAAACCACTGCTCTACCAACTGAGCTATCGCATCTCCTTTTAATCTGAAAACAATCATAGGAACAATAAAACAAAGCATACTCACCATAAAAGAGCCATGTAAGCATCATCATCGACAGGATTGACAAAGATATGCCCTTCTAAGGCTGGTCTAGGGGTCGTAAGCCAGAGGAAGAGGGTATCACTGGTACCTAGACTCACGGCTACATCACCTCCTTGAAGACTCATACCAGCTAGGGATGCTAAGGGTTAAAAAACAGTGACATTTGTGAAGCAGTTTGCCATTATGATTAACTTGGCTCCCATGTTTGTTAAAAGACCAAAACAAAAATGACTATCAATTTTCTCTCACTTTAAATACCTGTTTGAAAAATACTGTCACAGTTAAGGCTAAGCATAACAGTTGTCTTTCACTTCCAATTAAAGAAAGCTTTGCTAAAGGCAAAAAGGCAAAATTAAAACCCTACTAAGGCCTCAAACTAAATCTTTATCATGTGGTGCACAGGTATGTAGGGCAACATATGTAGTTACAAAGTCTTATGTGTTCAACATGTTACAATGACAACATAAACAACCATGCATATAGGGTTCAGGGTTCATGAACAGGGCTTTAAAAAGTTTGCAATTTTCAAAACTGCAAATTAGATAAGTGGTACACAGTTAGAAAAGTTTCAGCAGCTCCAAAGCCCATATTCTACAAGAATTTAAATCCAGCACTGAGTCTAAAGTCAAGATAATGAAAACCAAAGTCTAATTTTTCCTTTTGTTGATTACCACTTAGACCCAGAGTCAAATATAGCTGAGTTGATAGAATACAGACCAAAAGGTTTTAATGGTATAAAACCCCAAAACACTTCATGCCATCATGTTGTGCCTCAACAAAATCTTTTAAAGCCTGCAAAATAAAAATCAGACAATGATGCATACCATCCTATAAAGGCTTGAGATATACATGTAGGATGCAAGTATTTACATGAATCATAAATATCAGTCACAGTTCAAAAGGTGGTAAAACCATGGAGCAGGATACAGAAAAAAAATGTTCACTTTTGATTTCCATTTCATCCAGGTAAACATGCAGCTTCATTATGCACAATGTGTGGAAATGTGCCTGAATGAAGGGGGGGGGGGGGCCCTATATATAGGTTCCTACGCATCAAACAAGCAATGTATTTACTAATCATTAAATCCTTCCTCCAATAAATATTTAAAAGACAAACATTGTAAACAGGGTGCTAACATGTTTGTGGTGTAATATATGTAGCATTGGGGGTGCTTAAGCCAGTGGAAATTTGGTGGCCCCTTTTTATAAGCTCTGCTTTCTCCGGGGTCACCAAACCATCATTGCGTTATTCTAAATCTTGATGTAACTTATTTTGATTGTATATATATTTTGATGGTTGAACAATAAATGAAATTGACTTCAATTGACTTCAAAATGGCATGCCACTGACACCCATCACTTACCGTCCCTTTTTATACCCTTTATAGAAAGCCCTGCAAGAGAAGCTAATGATGGAAGGGGTATAAAAGTATAACCCTTCATTACCAACAGGTCAGGTGGTATCTAATGAGGGCGTTGCAAGAAAGTTGCGATTGATTGCAAGTTGCAATTGATTGCAACTCAACTTTCTTGCAACACCCCACTAGTCTCTTAAATTTCTGAGGATTTTGTTAGGATTAAAGTTTTAACAATTAAATTAAGTTAACGGTAGATCTAGCTTTTATTCTCCCCCTCTCTTACTTATGCTTGATTTTAGGGATTTGCAATTGGTTTCAAATTTCTTGCAACGCCCCATTAGAGTGACAAAAACACTTCATCCTGTACCTGTATTTCCAAGAATTGTGCTTAGAGTTGAACCCTAATGCATTATCTTACAGAATCTTTAATAGCTATCTTACAATGGTTATTTATGTTAATCTCATTTGAAAAATCAAACATCACTGATTTTGATAAATCAAACATCACTGATTTTGATAAATCAAGCATCACTGGTTTCAAAATGAATTATCACTTTCCTAAGGAGACCATTGTGTGAACCTTACAGCATTCGGAATGAAAAGAATTGAGAATGGAAAATATTTTTATTTGCATTGTCTATGGAGAGCATATGAAATGTGATGAACAATGCAATGTACATAATTATACAGGAAGACTTCTATGGAATGTAATGAGGCATGGTTGAAAATTTGAAATGAAACAAAGAAGTATATACTGTAGTATCCAAAAATCTATCATCGCTTATCCACTCTTCCACTGTGAACAACGAAACTCTATCTTTAAAAGCAGATTTTGTACATTATTTTGTCTATAGAGTATTCTATATTCTCTCTCTTTGTTGATACAAATAGTCCGATAGATTTCATATGAATCAATGAAATGCACATCCCAACCACTCCCCGGAATAATTCAACAAAGATGCAATTATCTCACCTGGATTGTCTCCAGTAAATGCAATAATGGCACACTCCGGAGAGAATCCATACCGATCTACAAAGTACCCTGAAATTTTGCCCTTCGGACAAAAGCGAAATAAAATACAGTAAAACAAAGATATGTCTTGATAGACTGTATTTAACAGAATATTTATGCACACGATGATTTTGTGAGTCAAACATGCAATGAACTTGGGGGATAATCCTTTACAAGCATCACCATATAAAAGCCAAAATGAGTATGGTAGCATGCACAAGCTCTTTAGATCTCAACCCAATTTGACAGCAATTGAGCATTCTACAGCTAATGCTTCTTCTACATTAAAAAAAATCTCCTCTTGTTTAAACCAAGATAACTATTCAAATCTACAAAACATAGCTCCTTAACAATATTGTATTTAAAATAGGATCCAACAGCTAATTCTATGGTATTTAAACATCGTTTCATTAGTAATATCTTGAAAATGCACCATTTATTATTTTTCTTTACACAATCTTCAAAGTTGTGTTCACTGAATTGCATATAATGTAAAATTATATCTTTGATAACATTTGTTTTAACCTTGTTGCTTTTGTTAAGCACACAAAAGCTGCATTTAGCAGCAAGCAAAAATCATTGATTTTTCTCACATTCCCTAACCCTATGGCTTTTTGGTCACATGGATGAGCAAACCCAGACAGTTTTTTAAGGGTTTTGCCAGAAGTGTTAATGGCAGTCCCAAAAAATTGAAGATTTTTTTTCTTCAAAAATGGTGTTTGGGCTGTGTTTAACAATGGGCATAAAGATAAAAATCTGTTTATTCTTAAAGCCCATCTGCATTAGTGTGGCTAGGGGGGGGGGGGATAAGACCTCCAGGCAAGTTCACTGACAGGTGGTTATCTCATCAAATCAGCTCTCAAATAACATAAGAAAAAGGGGATCATGGGGGACCAACAGGCACCGATTAGGCATTGTTTGTAATATAGAGGGTGCAAGTAGCTAAAAGTAGTGCAGTGGAGCTTTAAATCTTTAGGAATCTACCTACCAGGTTGGTATAGGAAGGTACTGACGGACCAAGTCTCTGGGATAGATCAGGTGCACATGCAGATAAAGCTGTCTCTGACCACTCCTTAGAGTTGATATCAAGTAAGTTCATTCCGGATCCTACACCAAAACAAACATGTTTATTTATAAACAAAACAAAGGTAAATACTGCTATATGAAATGATTGGCTTTCACTAAATGCCATTTAAATTTCTACCCCCAAAAGAAGATTGCTTGCACTATATGCTTCACATTATGATTTTGTATTGCTCTTATATAACACATTATTGTTCCTGAAAAATAGCTTATTACAAATGAAGTTGTCATTAAAGTTCGAGCAGATTTCATTCTAGTTTTGATTGTGAATTTGGCAATGTTTAAGGGCCTAATGAAATGCATCTACATAGGCCTTACATTAGCTTGTCCCAGGATCTTAATGGTTTCCATGACTCAAAATCTGTGACATCAAATAAAACAGAGTCATAAAGTTGTAAGTTCAGCTCAAGACCTTTAGCTAATCTATCAAATGGACTCATTTATAGTCAAAAGTAATCCACACATATTGCTTTAATCGGATACATATATATTTACTTCATGTGTTCAAAGGGATGATGAGTTGGCTGAAGATAGCTCTATACTTGTGTAATTTTGAATCATACTTTTGTCTTTAATCATTGCCATCTTGCTCCGATTATCTACCTACCATCACTATGATCGATAGCAGCATAGTCGCCCAGGAGTACGGATGCAACAAAACTGCTCACTAAAGATATATGCTGTAGCATGGATCAAATCAAGGAAGACTCTATTCATTGTGGTATCCAAATTTATGCTGGCATTGAAAATCTGATTTCTTTGAGAATGAGCAAGAAATAAAGTTCAAATAATTTTAGTTCTGTACCGTTTAAACAAATATACCTTCATAAGTTGTAAGTAAAGATTTCCTTCATTTCTATGTGTATATTGTCTTATTTTTTAATAGCCTTCTGTTCATTCTTATGGTTTACTCTGGTGATTGCAAGATAAAAAGCTTCAGCTTCAGATAACTATTAATGGTTACACAAGAAAAACAATTTTCTGAAATATTTGTAAAAAACCCTACTTTTCATGGAAAGCTGTAAATCACACAAATACATCTATCACAAGTTTGATGGGGATTATGAAAAAGTTCTAACATTAAAATAAGTTCTGAATGAAAATAGACAGCAATACACCAATGCTATAAACTGAAATCTACATATTTCCAGGTTCAACCTACCTCTGTGTCTTGGTAAAAATCCGGATGATTCTGGTAGACCTTAGCTATCTGGTTTCCTGTAAATCTCTGCCATGACAACATAAACAACAATAATACATTCTGAATTATTCTATTTGAAAGAAAAACAAATATGTTCATCTCCATACTTCTATGTATAATCTAAGACAACTTCATAAGAAATGTAAATCTCAGAGAGCAAAGTATACTTCACAACTCAAAGTACCCTACTGTAACAATCAATCATATCATAGAGGTGTCAGAGTCGAGTGGTTTAAGCACTTGACTTTAAATCTAAAGGTTGTGGTTTCGATCCCCGACACGGCACTTATGTCCTTTGGCAAGGCATTTATTTGCCACTCCATACCCAGGAGAGAAATAGGGACCTGGTAGGATGACAAAAGCCTTTGTGTTAGTAATTGCCATATGCCCTCAAGGTGACCATATGGTAGGAACACTCTCCAGGGAGTGGAGATGGTGCACATTGTGTGTGAATAAATCCTGTGACCGTGGTAATAATATCTGTAAAGTGCTTAGAGACTGTATTTCGTATTATATTCCACATACTAAGAATCTTGCTCTACGATTGGTCAAAAGTAAATCACGTGATGAAAGATAGTTCTCCCATTATTGATGGGAGAAGCAAAAAGTTTGTTACACTGTGTAGATAGTACTACTATCTACACAGTGCAACACACTTTCACTGAAGATAGAGGTACTATCTACACAGGGCAACGCACTTTCACTGAAGATTATCCAAAAGTGCACTAAAACAGGTGTATTTAAGCGCGCATTATCAATGAGCGCAATTAAAACAAACACATGCGCGCACCGTACACTCAAGGGGTTGCGTTAAACTGTTTAACTTTTTTGGTGTGAATTTGGGCATGGTGTCTTTTATGTAGATGCATACACGTCCTTTTCTTTTTGTAGTTGAATTGTTTAAGATGTGGAATATAAAGCAAATGATCACTTTTTGGTTTCAGGCGATGGCAAACTATCACTTCCTCGTCGATCAGAATGTATACGCTATCTTTCCTCAGCTTTGCTTCGGAAAGATAGCTACATCTAGATCGCCTCGGAAGTGATAGTTTGTCCCATCACCTTCACCAACGGTAGTTATTTGCTTACTAAGCGCTATATAAATCCAGATTATTATTTCAGCTAGATATTTTACCTCATATGATCTAGATCCAGTGATATTGGCAACATTCTGAGGGCCACCTAGTTTATCTTCAAGGTTTTTACACTGTGCGGTGGTACTGGAGTCCATCCAGATTGGAGAATCTTTTACAGCAAATGAATCCTGAGGACAAAACAAACATTTATGAACAACTGATCAGAATCGTAAGCATCAAAGTACAACGCTGCACAATCAAAATGTAATAGATTTACATGGTTCAAATGCCAGGGATACAAATTAGAATTGATCAGAGGGCCTGAAAATCACCCAGAATGAGCTATTTTGTACACAAAAAAGCCTAAACTAAAAATAACTAGCCAGGGCCTGAATTCAGGCTATAGCTAGCCTCTTGTCGATGCCCTCGCGCTGTTGGAGTCTCTAAATTCTGACTCGCTTCGCTCGTCAGAGAAACCGAGGCGCTTGCGCGGAGGGCCTCTTGACAAGTGATCTGGATTTCTTATGTTTTACTTTGTTTGGCGAATATTCCGACCCAGCAGAGTTCGGTGAAAGTCATCCAATCAGAGAGAGCTACTATGACGTAATATCTACCGCTCTGTGCGAATTCCCTCCGTGAGAGCGAGACTGGCCGCCTAGTTGTAGTCTGCAAGCACAAACCCTGGTCAGTCGTAAAAGAGAGTGTGCACTATAAGACTACCATATGCCACGTACTATAGCTGCTCCTGACCTATATTGGTACAACCAGCAGGTACCAGCAGATAGCTGGGCTAGGCTTCTCTCAAGGCACAATGATTTTTTGATAAAGTGTCAAATTAGGGTCTGTGCTTGCAGACTAGCCTAGTTGGGCAATCCCGAACACACACGTACACACACACAATCGCTGCGGTCTAGACATGCATAATTCAGTAAGAAATCGGGTCTCATGAATATATAATTGAGATCACTTGTCAAGAGGCCCTCCGCGCAAGCGCCTCTGTTTCTCTGACGAGCAAAGCGAGTCAGAATTTAGAGACTCCAACAGCGCGAGGGCATCGACAAGAGGCTAGGCTATAGCCTGAAAACTGGCATTCTTGAAATGTGAAAAATTCCATATAAAAGTGACTGTAAGAGAGCGCAGAAATAAATGTTAATTCGCAAATCAAAATTAGAAGCACCAGAGCCACATGAATTCTTCTCCTCAAGCAACAATTTCATTTTGATATCAATAATGATCAAGCACTACTTCTACTTGTTGAGTATTAAGTGTTCTTCGTTCCTCTTAGGCTTGGTTAGTAGTGTAAGAAATGCATGTGTGTAATGACTGAATCAATTCCTAGGGGTGTTTCACAAAGATCATAAGTCGAACTTAACTCTAAGTTGGACTCAAAAATTATGGAGAGCCATTTGTAGCCTTTAAAAAAATTATATCAAAAAGCGAAAATTGAAGTATTTAAAGACTTGTATCAATTCCACATCAAGAACATGAAACCTCCTTGATAATAGAAAATATGAATGATTTGAATCAACATTTATGCCTTTTAAAATAACTTGTACAAAATATTTTCATAGATGCTAATGGCTTTCCATAATTGTTAAGTCCAACTTGGGATCTTTGTGAAACAACCCCCAGTTCTATCAGGAGGATTGTTTTTCTTATACAATGATCATACCAGATTGCTCATACCTGCAGTTGTTCCTGTAAGAGTTTATCCGATTGAAGTTTGTTCAACACAGCCTGTGATCCATGCTTCCAGAATACACTCCCATGTTGCTATCAAAACAAATGAAAAGACAAACAAGTAACATGAATGCATTGTCTTCTCTCTAATATAGAGATGCAGAGCTTACAACCTTATACAAGATACAACATCTGATATATAAAATTGATTATGCTAGCTAGCATTACGAATAAAACTTTGCAATCAATCTAGGACAAAATTGAACACTAGAGTTTCAGGAATACATTTGGGGGACATGGCCTTTCCAGCCTTGCAGCCAACCTGGATAGAAACCAAGGTTTGGCTTGCCTACTCTTTGATAAGACACTATCAATGAAATACCTATATACATACACTACATTTGCTTTCTAAGCAGTCAGGTAAAAGCAACAGCAAATACTTTGTAAGACTTATTGCTTTGTACTGTAGCGGCTCTTACACTCGCCCTACTTACATTCGCCCTACTTTCACCATACATTCATGTCTCCTGTATTTTTCCATCACGGTACTTATTTATATGCATTATTCGGACCACGTGTGTTTTCCTTCCAATCGCGCATCGTGGTTCCGCACTGTTCACCCCGCGTATTTTCAACTCCACGAGGTTTTTCTCCACTCCCGCTTTCACCTTGGTCGAGTCAAGACGTCTCCGCAATTTCCTCTCCAGGCTCTATTCTTCTGTGCCTTTCGTCTTTTCTACGGCGCGTCAACTCTTTCTCTGCCATGTTCATCGGGCTGCAGTCTCCCAGTGGAACGTTATAGTCAGGACCGACATGGCGACTGACTCTCCGCTGGGAGCTGCCAGTTTCTTCGTTCCGGTAGCTCTTTCCACTCACGAGCTCATCATTTCACCGCAGCTCATCTAAACATTTCTTCATCAAAGTCCGGCGCATCAAACGAGCAACTATTACTACTCAGCACCAGTGCCGGCTTTGCATGTCTACATTTCTACTTGCCTCCGACATCAAGCGATTCACTGCTTCGTCGTCGAGCGCCACATCTCTTCTCTTCTCTTCTCTTCTCGCCTGAGAGCTTCAACCACATCTTTATCACGAGCGTCAGCGTCGAGATCCTTCACCGCTCTTCAGCCACGAATACGAAGCTGCATCTCCGCCTTCAAGCCTCCGCACATCATCGCGTGAGCCCCTTCCTTCGTTCTGAACTCTCTTCATCTTCATTGGACTTTCGACGCCCTTTCTATTCTGTCGTAAGCTTTCATTCATTATGTACATCACATTTATTCATGTTCATTCTCATCCTTAATCATAATGTAACTACGTGCAATATTCACATTTTCAAGTCTGCTATATTTGCTTGACTGCACTTTGCAAGTGCATTGTCAGCTTTGTTTCAGTACCCAATAAATTAACGAAAAGGGAATACTTTCTTTCATGTATTTTATTGTCAGTGCAACCTTGCTTCCTCGTAGCTAAAATAAAAATAAGAGTTATGTTGTGTGACGAGTGAACACGCTTTCAAATATCCATTCACAATACCTCACACTCATATCTCTAAAGTGGTGACCCCTCGTTTACTTTGAAGCTTGGTTGTACGAATTTATTATTCCCAGACTTTTTGGACTTAGCAATGTTTTATAAAATGTATTCATTCTGGATTATGTATCGAATGTTTTTTATGCTCTTGCATTTATACACGTTTATTCGATGCATACCATGTCATTCATTACTGTCTATTTATGGCACCTAAACAGCCGTTCGCATACCATGCTTGTTGTATTACATTCTTTCAACATGCCATGCTTGTACATTTCTTAGGCTGCTGTAATTTACTGCATACACTCTATTATACAATACATGCACTTTTACATTTTTATCAGCCATTGATTCTTGTGACATTTTGTACTTTGCTCATTTATATATTATCGCCTTTCATCTGTGTATTGCATACACAGCTTCAATTCTGGCAGGGGAGTAATGTAGCGGCTCTTACACTCGCCCTACTTACATTCGCCCTACTTTCACCATACATTCATGTCTCCTGTATTTTTCCATCACGGTACTTATTTATATGCATTATTCGGACCACGTGTGTTTTTCCTTCCAATCGCGCATCGTGGTTCCGCACTGTTCACCCCGCGTATTTTCAACTCCACGAGGTTTTTCTCCACTCCCGCTTTCACCTTGGTCGAGTCAAGACGTCTCCGCAATTTCCTCTCCAGGCTCTATTCTTCTGTGCCTTTCGTCTTTTCTACGGCGCGTCAACTCTTTCTCTGCCATGTTCATCGGGCTGCAGTCTCCCAGTGGAACGTTATAGTCAGGACCGACATGGCGACTGACTCTCCGCTGGGAGCTGCCAGTTTCTTCGTTCCGGTAGCTCTTTCCACTCACGAGCTCATCATTTCACCGCAGCTCATCTAAACATTTCTTCATCAAAGTCCGGCGCATCAAACGAGCAACTATTACTACTCAGCACCAGTGCCGGCTTTGCATGTCTACATTTCTACTTGCCTCCGACATCAAGCGATTCACTGCTTCGTCGTCGAGCGCCACATCTCTTCTCTTCTCTTCTCTTCTCGCCTGAGAGCTTCAACCACATCTTTATCACGAGCGTCAGCGTCGAGATCCTTCACCGCTCTTCAGCCACGAATACGAAGCTGCATCTCCGCCTTCAAGCCTCCGCACATCATCGCGTGAGCCCCTTCCTTCGTTCTGAACTCTCTTCATCTTCATTGGACTTTCGACGCCCTTTCTATTCTGTCGTAAGCTTTCATTCATTATGTACATCACATTTATTCATGTTCATTCTCATCCTTAATCATAATGTAACTACGTGCAATATTCACATTTTCAAGTCTGCTATATTTGCTTGACTGCACTTTGCAAGTGCATTGTCAGCTTTGTTTCAGTACCCAATAAATTAACGAAAAGGGAATACTTTCTTTCATGTATTTTATTGTCAGTGCAACCTTGCTTCCTCGTAGCTAAAATAAAAATAAGAGTTATGTTGTGTGACGAGTGAACACGCTTTCAAATATCCATTCACAATACCTCACACTCATATCTCTAAAGTACTTATATGCATCTTTGTTTTACAATGTTTTTGTTCTCAAGACCAGCTAATGAAGTAAAGTTTCGTTCATAGTAGATTCTTAGACTCACTTGTCCTGTCCCTGACAATGCAGCTACTTTGCTGAAGTCCAGCTTCTTTGTCTTCAGTCTGTCCAGGAGAAGGTCCATTGCTTTGACCCACATGATGGTAGGGGAGGTCACGGTCAGCTGGTCATCATGGATATGGACTCCGCCCTCTGTTCTGTAGTATTTGAAACCAAACATATTAACATAACACCTAATCATGGAAAATTTGCCTGTTGGGACTAGTTGGCCATTTCTTTGAAAATGAAAAGATTTGATTGACAATATCATTCATCTCCTAGCATATATCTACAATATTCTTTTGAAATCAATGAAGATAGGAAATTAGTAAGACACTTAGTTTCTAAATATCCTTCAAAAGGGCCTTAGATATTCAAAACTAGCTTCTGCTTCATAACAAATCAACTGATGTATGAATGATTGAGCACTTCAGTGAGATACCATTAGTGTAGTTCAAAGTATGCATTCAATCCATTGAATTACCTGAAGTAAACGCATCAAAACTTAAATTTCCATGAAATTATTTGTTCTTCTTCTGCAGAACATTAAGAGGCAATATCCAGAATGTTTTAATTTTATTAAGAATCAGTAAATATTCAATCAAAATTTTACAAATAAGAGTTGATCACGGCATCTGGGGCCAGTTTCTCGAAACCGTCACAAGTCTAAGTTTGAGGACATCACATAGAAACATGTGTTAAGTCTATAACACATGATTCTATGGGATGTCCAAGAAGTTAGATCTATGACGGTTTCGAGAAACGTATCCTGGTGACTTCTGGTCACTGAATGCAGATTCAGCAGAGATGTGTCACTTCATGATTCATCATTCATTTAGGAAGATGTTTGGGGCCATGCAAGGTACATAGTCTGTGAGGCTAGCTTTTTCTACAATGCACTGGCACTATGTGTACTTAAAGCTCCACTGCACTAGTTTAGCCAGGGGGGATTAGACCTCCCTGCATGGTCACTGACAGGTGGTTATCTTATCAAATAAGCTCTCAATTAACATAAGAAAAAGGGGATCATAGGATACCAAGGGTCACCAAGTAGACATTGTTTGCTACAGTATACAGAGGGAGCAAGTAGCTTTAAAGTTTTTTTAGTTTGCCTTTAAGTTATTTGTCATTATCTGAAAATCCAGCAGGTCAAGCTTTCAAAGCTTAACCTTCGTGATACTTGGAACTCTGCAGTCTTTAGAGGATATTTTGTTGCTCCTCTCACACACACCTACCATGCCTAGCCTGCTCTTCATAAAACCTGCTCATGGCAGAATGATGGAAAAAATTCAATAAAGTATACCCATACGTTGTGTGTCCGGACAGGTTGTGTATCTGGACAGTTGAATTAAGAAAAAAAAAATAGGAAGTTTGCCGCCAAAATTTCAAAAATATTTTACGACTTCTGATGGACAATATTATAAAAGACAAATAATTATGATGATTAGTGCTAACCGATGCATAATTTTCTATGAATACTGTCACTGAGACAAAGGTGACAGCTTTATTTTTGTTAAATGCTGGACACACAACTCCCCATCCCACTTCAATAAAAAGGGTCAAACAGCATGATGATTAATACCTACCTGAATTCTGGCAAATCTTGATCAAAGTTAACACTGGTTTCCACGACAACCTGAAGTGCATCATTGACTGCTATAGCTTTAGCCTTGAGGGTACACAAATAAAAAAGATTTTAAATGAGTGATCAAAAAGAAATGCAGGGATTGTCACTGACAGGCCCATATTTTGTTTTTACATAGAGTTCATGAATATAGACTGTAAAAACTTTAATCTTGACCCCCTCCCTAAGAAGTATATGTCCAGTATGAATTGAAACCATGCCATGCAAGACATATGATAATTAAAGTTCAAGGATAAAAATTATCCATGAACATTAGGCCTGCGCAAACTGGACACAATTTCCTGTAAATGATTTGACAAAATATTTGTCTGATTGGAGGATTAAAAAAAAAATGTAGGAAAGGGATTCGGTGAAGCCAGACGTCATCTTAGCAGAACATATCCCCAAAAGAAGGCAGCTTATCTTTTCTATTTTTCTCTCTGTAAGAACTTGCACCTGTGCACTGAACTTATACATTGTCATTGATACCATCATACCACACCATTTTTGCACTTAACCCTAATAAGGCCGGGCTATTTGAGGTCTTAGTATGGCCGGGGGGGGGGGCCATTATGGCCCCCCCTTAAGATCTCGGCCGCAAAGCGACCGATCGCCGCGAAAATTTGCACGTATGTCAAATGAAGTGTATAGAATAATATGATAATTTCAATTTTTTGAAAAATTCACTCATTTGCATAAATATGGTAATTTATGCAAATAAAGTTATAAAACTCACATTTTTACCCATAAATCATATATTATTCATAATTAGGCATTCTTTTTCACTACATATATTCATTATACCATTCTGAATAATTATACAACAAAAAAATTTGGAAGAGCCAGCTTATTCCTTATGTTATCCCTTGTTTTGATAATTTCTTATGTATTTCACTGTTTTTTTAACTTATGTATTTCATTGTTTTTGTTGTTTTATTTCATTTCTTACTACAATTCAACTATTTTGACACCCAAGACAACCACCTAAACTTTAAACAAGACCCAATAACCCATGTTTGATCTGTTTTTAGGAAAAATTACTTTTCCATATGTTTTGTACACAAATCATGAAAATGAGCGATTTTCGGGGTGACATGCAAAGACAAAAGGTCACGTGACCTTGTAACCGTAGGTCCGATTTTCAAAAAAATTCTTTTAAAAGTTGCGAAAGAAAAAAGTCAGCGAGTGGCGGGGCGCCATCCATATGCGTTCTTGAGCAATCAGAAAAATCGTGGAGGGGGGGGGGGGCAATAATGGCCCCCCCCCCGGCCTTATTAGGGTTTTGGCACTTCTTTCAGTTCTTGCAACTACTCGTCTCACCCACTCCAGCAAAGCATAGAGTCAATGCTAATGCGTATTGACGGCCTCTAGCGCTGTATACTTAATTGCACACTAAGTATGCACACAATAAATCTGAAGTGGCTGATCGGCAAGTTTGACCAAAGATAATATCCTCCTTGGATTGACAGTACTTAGACTCACTCCAGCAAAGCTAGAGAGTCAATGCTAATGCGTATTGACCTCTAGCACTGCACTATGTGCTAATAGGCAGCATTTGAATACATGAATAGTCAAAACACTCACAACACACAAATGCACACAATCATGCTGATGCAGCTGATCGGCAAGTTTGACAGTAGCTCACAATTTGAATTTTAAAATTATTCTTTCTAACAATATCATCGGAAAGTTAAAAAAATACTATTTTACTGCTATTTAGGTGTCATCAATCGTCACTAAAATACCGATTTAGAGTGAAATCAGTTGAGTTTTGTACAGTGGTGGTGTTTGAAATGTTGAGAATCAATAGCACATGTTTTAATACACAGCCAGAATAGTAATGCAGCTTTGTATGTCAGTATGTGTGCTTAGACTCACGGCAATGCAGACAAACATTGCTCGCCAGAATATAGACTATAGACCCTACTGCACATTATTTTGTTTCTCTCTTTTGTTATTCACACTGTTTCCACTCCACACCATTCATATACTAAGCACGAACTTACTGTTTGTGTGCTGAAATCAAAGCCAAGAAACAATTTGGTCTCTGAAGTCGCCATTTTTCAAAGACAGTCCACAACAACAATGCCAATGCACGGTTTGCTCGCGTGTTACATGTATATATGCACGCTCTCATTCCCCAGGCCAGCGCCTCACCCTCGAGGCTAGCTCGAGCTGCGCTGGAGCGGAGGTCGAGGGCCTCAGCTCAGATCAGCTGTGCATGGAGGTGCCGCCCACCGACCCCCATGAGCTGAGGCAAATGAGTCAACTTGCTCAAAAGCTCGACGATGTACTTTGTCGCCAGCTACTGTTGAAAATTGTTTTTTGTTCCCCTTTCTTTTTTGAGTGGGGGGGGGGGGGGGGGGGGGGGGGGGGGGGGGGGGGGCGGTGAGTTTAATTATTATTCTAAATGCTAGGTATATTTTATTTCCACGAGGAGTAATTTGAATTCAATATTATTCCATTCCAATTAATTATATTATAATTTATCGTATCAACTATTGCAACCTCTGACATTTTTACATCAGATATTTCTACTTGGCACCGAATCGGTATGATAGTGCCCATCGAACTCTAGACTACGTAGTGTAGTGCCGGACAACTTTCCCATTTGTTCCAACATAGTCAAATGTCATTCCTTTTCAATGATATGTATGACTCGATCGGAATGATTTGTCTTTTTAGAGGACCTGTTATAATATACTTTATTTTGATATTGACTTAGGGGTGAAGACACTTAGGAAAAGAAAAACAAGAAGAAAACAATTTGCGATACTAAGTGTTTGTACACGATACGGCCTAAATGGGAAAGTTATCCGTCACCACGTCAAAATCAATTGAAAAAAAGAAGTCGATTTTAGATTCACAAAGCTGTAGTGATCTATCGTTAATCATTCACAACTTCCCAATTATTCGCCGAATTATTTCAAAAATTCGCCATCCTGTATTTCTGACCTTTTCTGCTTTCATTCAACTGGAATTATTACATGGGTTAATTGGATTGCCCTTCAATGTCAACAAAATGATTTTGAAGAAGGAGAAGAAGCCCGTGAAGAAGACGAAAATGAGGAGGAGGATGAGGAAAATAAGAAGAGGCCAATCACCCCAATATTTCACCTTAGTACAGTTTTCGACATGGAGAGGGCCAGAGATAATTATATGGAGATAAAGAATGAGAAAAAAAACCTTTGAAAGCGGGAGGAGAAAAAGAAAGAGACGGGGAGAGAGAGAGAGAGAGAGAGAGAGAGGGTGGGGGGGGGGGGGGGGGGTAAAGGACAGGGGGGATTAGATGGCGGTGACTGTGTAATTATGTTAGTACTGAGTTGTAAATCGTCTTTTATAATCCGCCAATAAAATTGAAGCAGTTTAGCTGGAATTCTTGAAAGACCAACAGATAAAATAAGAAATACAATTGATCCTTTTCCGATAAGCTAAAAATCCTAGAACAAAAGGAAGCGTCGGCCATAAGATGCGATAGATCTTTCAAGCCTTTTGTCCTTTTGAGATCGTAATACACCGGCAATGACCACTATGCATGTTGTCAAATCAATTCATAGAAAAACTTTGTTTTGATCACGTGACGTACATAAACAACGCCCACCCTGCTAGTAGTCTAGGTTTGCAGAATACATTCTTCGTTTTAAAGAGTTATCTTGAGCAACTGCACAGAACAAGTTATGATGGATATACATTTGTGTTATGTACTTCCGTACTTCCATTCGTCCGCTAATTAAGGTTTCGAAAGTTCAAGATCTTAAGAAAACGATCACGTCTCTATAGCAAGGATGAGTAAAATGATGTATGGATACCAGACTACACACCACTGGCACGCGCGCTAATCACGGCACTCTCTACTCCTTGTCAATCAATGACATCCTCGTAGTATTTTTCGGAGGACACACTCAGATAGAAATTGAATGCGGAAGATACGTCAAGGAGTTTGTTTTGAGTAGTAGTTCACAATCAAGAGATATAAGCATATTCTTGGAAGCAATTTACCAACCCTCAACTCTTTCATAACACTCCGAAGTTACAACAGGATTCACAATTTGAATACCCGCAATATCAGCTATAGCCTCCATTCTCCGAGGGGTTACTTTGGCGGATTCGTGTAGTACTTTTCAGTGACAACGTTATTCGGCAGACGGGTCCCCTTAGACAGAGAGGGGCTAAAGACAGTGGTCAAAGTTAGGTTTCCGAGTGTCAAGGGGCAATCAGATGACCCCCAGCATGGACCCATCATCTCCAATAAGACGAAGGGCGTGGCTACTTGACCCTAAGTTATCCATCGTCCTACTTCTTAGCTTTCTCAAGGTAAGAGTTTGATCTTTGTGATGAATGTCTGTGTGTAGCCTATTATTACGTATATAGGCATTTTGAGTTTATTTTGCAGAGCTTGCAGAAGTAAATATCCGTAATAATATGCATCGACCTTGAACAGATGGAGTTAAATACTGCTTACACGGACGTACTACTTTGTAAACGTGGGTTTCCTTTTACAGGAAATGAAAGTGATGCTAGACTTGTTTTTGTTTTTATGTGATTATTTGACTTCCACTAATCATCATAAATTGTAGTTTGCTGCCTTATTTTTTGGATGATTTGCCTAAACTAGTCATTTCCAAGTGGAACCCGTGGCTGATTCATGATTTGTGGCCGAGCCTGCGTGTTCTTATAGATAAGAAATCAAATATTACCTCAAAAAAAAAAATTCATTTGCATATTATAAGCATTGATAACAACAAACTTATGAGATAAGTCTTATTTTTCGTCAGACAAAAAGAAGTTGATGTTAACTTTTTTTTTCTTCATTTGTTAATGTTGTCACTGTTCAAAAACCACAAAGTATAGGCCTGAAAAGATAGTGTCGAGTATGTATTCAAAATGAGGGAGAATTGAAAGGAAAGAGAGAGAGAGAGAGAGAGAGAGAGAGAGAGAGGGGGGGGGGGGAGAGAGAGAAGGGGGTGAGAGAGAGAGAGAAGGGGGGGGGGGGTGGGTGGAAGAAAAAAGTACCTATTTATATACCTAGAAAAGAATATCCCCCTTCTTTTCTAAGTGAGATACAATAAACGTTTCATCCACTTCCTATTCTTAGTAACAACATTTTTTGATCGAATCTGGAAAACAGATTTGGCGCCAAGTCGACGCGTGGTATATCGTCAATCGTAAAATAATGAACATACCAGAGCCTTTGAATCGGATTTGTATAATCTTTCGATTGGGTTCTCCAGACACATTTTTAAAGACATTGGTATTTGGTGATGCGAAGTCAGGGGCGGATCTAGGGGGGGGGGTTCGGCGGTTTAACCCCCCCCCCAAAAAAAAAAAAAAAAATTGGGCGGCCAAGTGAGAGAAAAAAAGAAAAAAAAAGAAAGGAAAACGGCGCGATTTTTTGGAAAATCCTTGATCCGCCACTGGGTCACCCACCTCCATCCCCCCTGGCAAAAAGCTAGATCCGCCCCTGGAAGTTCATAGGTTAAGTATTAAAATAACTGTTCAAAACCAAAGAGATAATTAAAATTCCTTGCCAAAACTAAACAATGCGTCATGTAGGCTACTACTGAAGTTCTGATTTGAGAGCAGTGTTCAGTAACCAAGACAAGAGATGGCAGGTTCAAAAACGATGAACTGATGAACGTTTAGGTCTAGCTATCTGCACGTACCTTACTAAACAGGTTGGGAAGGAAACCTGGCTCAAAACCCGGTTCAGCTAAATTGAAAGGAAGTTGCAACAATTAGTGGGGTGGTTCTAGGGAGATAAAGACCCGCTATAATCAACACAATCTTGACAAAACGGAAGCCATAAGTAGTCAATGTGCCTTCCAACTTCCCCGTTATTAGAACAAAGCGAGATTAACATATTCACACAAGCTATTGAACTGTTTACATTGGAAATCATTTTCACACTTACCGATTATTGAAACGACATGCATTTTTAATGGTATGCGAATTTTAAAGGATTTGTCTTGAAATACACTATAAATATGACACACAATCATGGAAATATATACCACTTTTTGGACAGTATTCGATATTATGATACCCTTGTATCGCCTTTTGAACATGATTTAAATTATGTTAAAAATGATTATTATTGTGAGCTTATGTGTTTGTTTGTTTGTTATTGGTGCCGTTGTTCTTTGGTTCTATTTATTCAACGGAGTGGACTACTGAGAAAACATTGAATAAAAGTTGGAGTTTTGCGACAGTGATGTTATAGTAAAGATATACAAATGTCCAGGCGCGTACGCAGGATTTTTTCAAGGGGGGGGGGGGGGGGTTTAACATTTATAAATCGGGCCGAAAATTTCGCAACGACTCAGCCAGCCGCTGAATAAGCGGGGGGGGGGGGGGGGGGGGGGAGGGGGGGGGGTAAGAGGACACTTTTTTTTTTTCGGTATCGAAATTTGAAAATTTGACATTTTGCTCCGTTGGGGGGGGGGGGGGGTAAGGTCAGCTTTTTTAGGTCAGCCATTTAGGTCAGCCATGGGAATCCAAGGGGGGGGGGGTTTTAGGGAAATTTAGGGAAATTTAGGGGGGGGGGTTTACACACACAAAAATACCAAAGGGGGGGGGGGGGTTAACCCCCCAACCCCCCCCCCCCCTTGTGTACGCGCCTGCAAATGTCACGCCGTTTATATCGAAGAGAAACTGAGACTGGTTTTCTTTCCCCAGACGAGATACATAAGAACAAAATGTCTACAATTTTACAAGTCCCTTCTTATGGTGCACCTCGCCAATATTACATTCCATATAAGGGACATAGAGCTATCATTACTTAGGTTCATGGGAGCAATACGAAGCAGATGGCCACGTGTTATAATGGAAATAAGATAATGTTAGAGAAACCTATTCTGCTTACTGAATGTGATATTGGCTTGCGCTGTTCCTAAAATTATTCACTAGTCTTTTGCTTCTCAGCTACTGCAAGGAAAAGGCGCTATATCAAATACCCTTTTAGATTGGTTTGTTAAATTTTGTTGATACCTTCTAAATCGTGAAAGTGATTCTGCAGTGATTTCTCACATCTTAATTTATTACAGACAGACTATTACAAAAATTTAAAACAAAACTGGTATGAATTAATTTAATTCAAATTATTGTCTTGTTTTATTTGCATGACGTAAAGGTTAACGTCCCCATTAATACCCCACCCTACCCTAAGCCCCGGATTCATGCTACAATTGCTGACCTCCTTCATCCAGCTATCATGGCTGATGGATCCTGTCAACATGGTACGATGACAAATCATTTCATCAGCCCTCGGGAATGGCCATACTTTGTGTACTTCCTCATCCCTTTGCACTAAACCAAAATTTGAGGATTTTGCAACAGTGGCCCACAGTTGTCCACATTTAAGACGAATCTATTCTAAAAAATAAACGTTTCCAGACTATGATAGTTTTGATAGACAATAAAAGTCACAAAGAAAGCTTTTTTTTTTTACAAGGTTTGATGAAACGTTCTCTCTATTTAACATTATTTTAAGCATTTTCTTTCTTCTTTATACATGCATTATGACGCGATGTATTTTGCCTTCTTTTCTCAAGTCTACATTATCATAACTACGTGATCAACGATGTTCTAACATTAATTTTATTATGGATTTTTAATCTGATAACGACCCTGGGCCAACCTCACCATTCAACAATAATCATCGACAATTACTAGCGGACAGTACACCTTAGGACAACTGTCAACATACTGGTTCACACAATGTTTTTTCAAGTACATGCAAATGTATAAAAAAAATATTTGGAAGCTATTAGTATTAAACGATGATCAGTATTACACCGACTTTTGCTTAAGTTTTCCAACCAATCTGAATATGTTAATTTGAGTTACTGAACATATTTCAAAACTCTGGCCTTAATCCAGTTTGTATTGCTCTAAGAAAATTTTGTGACCGTAACTCCTTATTTTGTCAACATGACCAAATATGGTTACGTTTGGTTTCCGACCTGAATCAGTATTAATTTGCTTCAACCTTTAAGTTGAACTCCTTGTAAATTTACAAGGTCTCTCAAACCCTTCCCACTGAGCAACAACATAAAAGTGATATCATCGTACCATATACATGTACTTCGCATGATTACTGAACTTGTTTCAATTAACTTTCTTTCCTAGCAGCATTGCTTTTGTGTTTTCTTTGGTAATAACATAATATAGAAAATGAGCAGATAAGGGCACATGAGCATTTGTCTACATCAATAACCCACTTCTTGTAATGGCCCAAATTAAACTGATTGAATATTTGCGGAGCACAAAACATACGATCATTCAGTACACGGGTCTGAAAATCAGACTATTACTAAATTGATTGCAATCACTAAAGTCGAATTGATTCATTATTTTTGCCTGCAAATGGGACAAAGTACCTTTCAGCAATGCTATTCAAATGTTGTCGATATGAAGACGTAACTGGTTCCGCTGTTCAACTTTTTGACTGGGCGTGGTTGGTGTTTTGTATTGGCCACATAGTGTGTACTCTATGGATAATCCGTTCAAAATAAGTCTACTGGGGGGTGGGGGGTATTCGCATGATATTGACCGATAAGGCGATAGGTCGTACCATGAGCATGCCTGGTTTGTATAGCTCTTGGTGCATGCAAGCAAGAGTCGGAGTATTTATAAATTATATCCATCAGGTACATACATGTATTAGGTTTCTGCCCTCATATAACCCCAGCATCGATTACCAATGTTTGGTCGAGGAAGAGGCTGGATAGGGGGCAAATTTACACCTGCCGTGGCCTCCCTCCAGAAGTTTTTAAATTATCATAGTATTTTTGTTTTTTGTTTTTGGGTCGTAGTCTCGTTAAAAAATGCCCCCATTTACAAGTGAATACAATTTACGGGGTATAAAAATTAATTCACAATATTTCACGGGTAAAAAACGAGTTAAATCATCCCCAGAAATCAGCTTTGAAAAAAATGTATCTGTATGCACTTTAAAGCCTTTTTTTTTTATCTAGCTAAACTATACTCATAAAAAGGATAATAACGATATAATACATGCGATCATACAGTTGGTGTATTATGATAAAAAGGTGGAAAATATTTCATGAATTTAATTCTTACGTTTCCTTGGTTCTTATTAAACACCTTTTGAAATGATTTTTCTAAAAATCGACAGGAATCGACGGGCTTCAACTGTCACCACATCTCTACTGATTTCCAGTGAATTAAATCAGTTCGGGTTGGGTTCAATTTAGCCTCACGTGTGCTGATATCCGATGAAATACACTTGAAATACTCTTTCTGGTGTAAAATAGAATTTGTCATGTATTTGTTGAAAACCAAAAAACAACAAC